GACCGATCCCCTTTTTGATAATCTGGCACACGGAGTAGTCTTGTTGAATCTACTCCGTACCAGCATTGTAGGGGGACTGAGTACTAACATTGAAGGTGTGACAGTCAGTGTCTCGCCATTCTCGCATAGTATGGAGTCGCTCGCTTAGGTGGATTATAGGCTCCACTGGGTATAAAACGGAGGATCCATGGATGTGCAGACCTGTCGGGTTGTCCGTACTATTGTAACTCAAAGAAGTTTCAAGGAAGTCTCAAAGAACCAGACATGGATGCATGAAATGAGGCGCAGGCTAGTCTGACTGGGTAGGAGTAATGGCCTTTTGCTTTGTTTCTATGTCTCCCTCAGACTGAGATCATCTGAGACGAGGTACTGCTGAGGTCAAATCAGACGTCAGGCTTGACGGAACGTCCATCTGGGGGAGTAAACTGTACGATAGTTATATTAAATGTTGTACGGAGTACATAGTTGGTCTTGTCAGGGGTTCCCTTCCCATACAAAGTACGGAGTACTATTTGGAGAGCTAGAATTATCTGCAACGTTGCTGCTGTTTCCAACATTGGATCTTCCAATGTGATTCGCGTTACGGTTTGATATGCTAGCTTTCCTCTCCACAAGATCTGCACGCCTCCAGTAGTCCACCGGGCATATTTATGTAGTATACTGTAACTAGTTACATACGAAATACTATGTATGGTCTATTCTGCAGTATATATAGAAAGGGCTGACTGTCTGAATCAGAATGTTCCATATACGCATTTGTATATAGATAACTGAAACTAGAATCTATACCGATGCAATGCCAATAGAATACCACACACCGGCCAATACAATAAGCAAAAAAAAGCAAAAGGGGCTGAATGGGTCTCTGGTTAAATTCCCCACATTGTCCAATCAGCTGACTCTATCTGCCGGGGTAGTATTGTATTGTATTCGGTAATTTGTGTAATAAATACACAGGATCCAGTAAGCAGGCAGTTCCCCTAATCACCCGCCATTGTCTGGTGAATCGATGTGGTAATCTCAGTGTATCCCCTTTCTCTGTTGAAACTTTCCCAATTTCCCCCTCAGTCTTGCCCCTTACCTTTGAGTTGTATCTCTCCCTCTTCTTCCTCTTCTTTGCTAGATTGGATTCTATTCGGATTCTTCTGATTATTCCTTTCTTTTCCTTTCTTTCATTTTTATCCTTTTTGCTGGTTTGTCCTTCGTTTTTGCACTGCAAAAGCACATTCAGGTGGGTACCCTTCTTTTTTCCCCCCTTGGATTTGTCAATTGGTTTATTTGCGCTGGTAAACTCGGTGCCGACTCCTTGCATGGGGATGCTTACACCAATTCTGAAACGCCGTCTGTCTCTGCTCAGCGATGCTTGTACTACCTATGCAACGCCCCCCTCGAGCCCATCAATGCAATATTTTCTCGGATGAAATTATTCCAGCTTGCTGACAGATGATCCGACTCGGACAGCCCCTGTAACAGACTCCCGAATATCCCTCCACGAAGAAACTTTTCTCATCCACTTTTACACCGTTAATTGCGACTTAATACCGTCAAGATGGGCTGCGGAATGAGTACCGAGGATAAGGAGGGGAAGGCGCGGAACGAGGAGATCGAGAACCAACTCAAGCGCGACAAAATGATGCAAAGAAATGAGATCAAGATGCTGCTCCTCGGTAAGATCCGGTGACCCCTGATGGAAATACCGGCGGATGGCTGACTTGGGATACAGGAGCCGGAGAGTCGGGCAAGTCCACGATTCTGAAGCAGATGAAGCTCATCCACGAGGGTGGATACTCCCGCGACGAGCGTGAATCATTCAAGGAAATCATCTACAGCAACACCGTCCAGTCGATGCGGGTCATTCTCGAGGCCATGGAGTCGCTCGAACTTCCCCTGGAGGATGCGCGCCACGAGTACCACGTGCAGACCATCTTCATGCAGCCCGCTCAGATCGAGGGTGACAGCATTCCCCCCGAGGTTGGAAACGCCATTGGCCAACTCTGGCGCGATACTGGTGTTCAGGAGTGCTTCAAGCGCTCCCGCGAATACCAGCTGAACGACTCTGCCAAATAGTGAGTAGTGACCGTTCGTCTGTCGCATTGCAACGTGACTAACCCGTTTCCTCTTAGCTACTTCGATTCCATTGAGCGCATTGCCCAGCCCGACTACCTCCCCACCGACCAGGATGTCCTCCGTTCCCGTGTCAAGACTACCGGTATCACCGAGACCACATTCATCATTGGTGACCTCACATACCGCATGTTCGACGTTGGTGGTCAACGATCCGAGCGCAAGAAATGGATCCACTGCTTCGAGAACGTCACTACCATTCTGTTCCTTGTCGCCATCTCCGAGTACGACCAGCTGCTCTTCGAAGACGAGACCGTCAACCGTATGCAAGAAGCCCTGACTCTGTTCGACTCTATCTGCAACTCCCGGTGGTTCGTCAAGACCTCGATCATTCTCTTCCTCAACAAGATCGATCGCTTCAAGGAGAAGCTCCCCGTTAGCCCGATGAAGAACTACTTCCCCGATTACGAGGGCGGTGCCGACTACGCGGCGGCTTGCGACTACATCCTCAACCGATTCGTTTCCCTGAACCAGGCCGAACAAAAGCAGATCTACACGCACTTCACCTGCGCTACTGACACCACCCAAATTCGATTTGTGATGGCAGCAGTGAACGGTAAGCTTAGCCATCCCATCCTTAGTACACAACACTTGTCTAACGTTTCACAGATATCATCATCCAAGAGAACCTCCGTCTCTGCGGTTTGATCTAATGAACCTATCATTTGGTCACGAAGTGTGTGGAACCTAGATCGCATGTTTTTATTAACCGGGGCTGATCGAATCCGGTCAAAAAGCCTCGTTTCAAGATCCCGGCGTTGATTCTCTTTTGCGTTTCCTTTTTTCTTTTTCTATTCTCCATTTGTTCATGTTCTAATTTCCCCCGCCATTGACACGATCTCTAGCCGGTTTTTGTTTTGTTTTTTTTTTCTCTCGTCACTCCTGATATCCACTACAGAAAATAAGGAAGTGTTTCCCTCCCTTCTTTTTTTTTCTCTTTTCCTATCTCGTTTCACAATTTTTTTTTACCCTTCTGATTTGAATGCTGGATATCCTATCATCTCTCTCTCCCCCAACTTTTTGTTTATGTATGTAACCATATCGTCTCCACCCCCATCATTTTCCTTGGTCTTGCGTCCGTTGGAAGCCAAGAGCGTCCATTTGGGCATTGGGCACCGGGGAAATGGCAGGATCCGCGGATTTGAATGTTTCCTTCTCATGTGTCATGCCAGGTCGGTCGTTGGGTTATTTCAGAGTTCAAGGATTGACTCTCAAGGTTCTGACTCTTAATTCCATACTGTTTCTATATCCTTGATGTGTATTATATTCGTATGCTCAGGTTGCAGATTTCGCCAACAACCTTGTGACTTGTAGGCAGGTATAGACAGTTCCAAGGTTAATCTATGCAGAGCGAAATATGGGTATCGACACAACAGTATAATCAAACTATCACAGAAGAATAGTATGACAACTTCTCAAAACCTCAACTTTGGCCCAACGTAAACAATAAGAATGGCAACAACCCATAACCCGAAAATCCACGCATACAGCATCATCCGCCCCCACAGCCCCTTCCCCTCGGTCATCTTGCGCAACATCCCCATTCTCTTTCCCGCCGCCTCCATCGTGGTACTCGTGCGATCGATACCGGACACCGCACGGTCCAAAGCAGACTTCTCTCCCTCCAGTGTCGCCTGGAAGCTTTGCGAGGAGGACTTTAATTGTGAAGCGAGTGTTAGAAGTGAGCTGGTAAGATCCTCCTGTTCCATTCTGTGGGTGCCCAGTTCCGCTTCTGTCCCAGCAAGCTTGTTTGCATTGCTTCCCGTCGCCGCAGCTGTTTCAGTGGGTGAAGGTGGCGCGGGGTGAGTTGTGTGGCGGTTTCGGAGGGTTGGGAGCGCTGGTGGGCTTGTTGATGAGGGAGTGGGTGTTGGGGTTGTTGTAGTCACTGTTGCGGATGTAATGGGTTGTTGCGCTTCGCTTGTTTCTTTTACTTCTCGTTGCGAATCTGATGACCGTGTCGGTTTCCGCTGGTCTTTCGGTCCGGATACTAGTGAGGTAGCTTTCTCCGCGATGGGCTTGGAGAACAGCTCCTTCCATTCGTCATCGATGTCGTCGGTCTCATCCTCTTCATCTTCCATTGCTTCGGCTTTGGCGTTTTCTTCGTCGAGAATGGTCTGTATACGCTTCAGGAGCTGTTTGTCGCGCGCTATCTCGGATTGTGCTTCATGTTTGCGGTCGAGGGGTTTTATTTGTGGGAGGGAGCGCTCGAGTTGGGTGAGAAGTGAGCGGGCGTATTCAACGTTCTGTGGCGTTGGTTAGACTTGAGGTTCTGATATATTTTGTCCCCTTGGAAGTATGTCCTTTGAAAGTAGAACATTGGAAGGGTAGAGTAAATGCTTACCTTGTTCACGCGCATACGCTGGTATTCTGATTGTTGGAATGAGCGCCGGTCTGTCCCCGGGGAGAGGAGATTGTGTTCGAGTCTCGTGAACAGACGGGCAACATTGAGAAGGGCAAGATCTGGAGAGCCTTCGGTGGGGAATGCGGTTACGGCCATGGCTGGAACTGGGAATTGGAGGAGTGAGCTGTTTGTAGATTGAAGATGTGGCATCGATGTAGAGGCCGCTTTCGAGATGACTCAGCATTAGCACACCTGGGCAGGTCCACGGGTGGGGAACAAGTGGATCGCCTTGACTTTTAACTACAACTCAACTACTTCGGGGGAGCCTTCAACATGACAGCTGCCCACCTCGCATGACTTATGGCTGGGTGCTATTTAGGTGGCCAACTGGAACCACTACACACGTGTCAGATTAGTAGAAGTATATCTCGCCCACCAATATTTCCGTATCTAGCCACAAGCAGTAATATAATCAGTTCCAATTCCAGAAAGTGGGATATTAAGGATTTTATAGTCTAGGATAGCTAGTAAATGTTCACTCTTTCGAGGTTCCAATGTTAAGCATAGGTACTTTACCTGTATTCACATATTCAGAGTCCTCCAAAACGACACAGCTAGTCAGCGCTACTATTAGAACAGCAACAATAAGTGAATGGGTGCTTATATCACTGGGCTGGTATTTCAACTCTTCAAAAGTGGTATCCAACCATTCTAAGGCGACAGTGCTGCCGTCGATCACGTAGTACGTTTCCCAGAAGTACTGAGTGAAGGCGACACCAAGAAGATGGTAAGGATGGAGTTCACGTTCCAAATTCATCGTAAAAGTTTTGTCCAGATGGCCTATTAACGACCCGTAGCTATTAATGCCTTTACGGATGGTCACGGTTATGTTAGCTTTCCGATTGGTGAGGACAATGTTAGCCTTATTCCTTCCTGACTGGTTAATCCGTCCTGCACTGCCTGATTCTACATGTACACCTGGATGCGAAAGCGCATAGCGGCCAGTGGTGAAATATAATATATCTCAGGCGCCTGGATTATACTTGATTCTAGATCGCTGTCATAGTAATCCGGGCATATTGGTTTTCTGCTCGTATGGCATATTCAGGCACTAGCCGCTTGCAATTAATTTTATTTCATCACTGGCCGCTATTCTCGTCGCCCCTGAGACTTTTATCGATTCGCTCACGTCTTTATGCAGTAGATTTCGGTAGAAATTAAAATTATATAACCGGTAGGTCGCCCCCTTTAATGGGGCGTGTTTGTGTGTTAAATTTCATATTTAAATTACTTCACATGATTCATTTCAGAGACACCTTTGTCTCGAAGTGTTGAAACAACACTTGTATTTTATGCGGGAGTATATTGTTCGCGGCGAAGTACGCTATCGGGGTCGAGGACCCCGTTATCTTCATGAAGTTTTCATGGAAGTATGTTTAATACTTTTGTTTGTTGGCGATGTCTGTGGGTATATCGCAGTTAATGGTGACGGTGTCATTGATACGTTGCGTTCGTATACCCCGTTCTTGGAACGGTTGGTTCAATCGTTGGAAGTTATGCATATGTGGTGCATACGGCATCCTTCGAAAGGTCAACTTCCCAAAAATGGGAAGTGGTTTACCACTTGGATTTACCGTAAGGTGTTGAAAACTACGTCGCCGGTGTTGCGCGTGCGTATGTCTAATGCGGTGTATCCCAATGTTACGGTTGATACATTGATGCCTGATGGAGTTTCGACGCTTTCTTCGTGTGAGTTGCGTCAGTTATTTCTTGAAATTTCACAGTCGGCGTTTGATCTTACAGATCGCGGTGGTCACGGGCAGTGTGGGCCGTTACATTCTTTGCATGATGTCCAAAGTGCTGGTATATACCTGACGTCGCGGAGCGTTAAGCGTTCAGGTTCCCGGACTAGCGTCATTCGAAGCAGTGGTTTTCGATCGAAAGATGACGTCTGTGTGTCACTTCATTTGTCGTCCGCTTCGGACGTTCGATCACAAAGTGTGGATGGGAGATGGGAACTGTATTGGAACTTGAGGTCGTTTGGACCCAATGGTAGTGTTTATGATGGATTGAATTCTCTTCTGCGAACAGAAGGTGTACTTGTGAGTTTCTGAAATGGTTTGCAGAATATATGTTAATTTTTTATTTATGGAAAATCAGTTGAGTTTTAATTGTTATTTTCAATCACAGTTGGATATAGTATATATATTGAAGTTATGGATTGTTTGGGGGCCCCAGCTTTGCTGTGGGGGCGAAGCCCTATCTTACAAGTGAGTACACTTTACTCAAAGTATGTTCGATCTATTAATGATTGAGGTTATTTTCTAGTTGGGGGGGCATGCCCCCTTCACCAAGCCCTACGTTAGAAGGTAACTTCACCCAAGGTGAACGGTCGGTAGAACCACGTGATGAACAAGTGATAAGAGATAGATAGCGTCAGCTATCGGAGACATAATGGGAGACACCTTGTGTCTCCTGATTGGAAGAGTTTTTGGGAGAGAGTGGCCCCACTCTCTATATAACATTGCCCCAAAAAGTCGAGCCTGAGTCTCGACGTATTTCCCTCTTTGGGGGAAATTTTGGTACCGAGAGGGGCCCGCAGAGGACGGGAGGATCCGCCGGCCATTGGCCGGAAAGCGCAGTGCGCGTCCCGAAGGGGCTAGTACCGGATACGGTACGGTAACGGCAGTGTACTGCCACCCGTGTACGGGCGGTCAAAGATTGACCGCTCACAAGAATGGACATTCTTGGCGTTTACAGGCTTGAGTCTGAAAGCCTGAGAAAATTACTGGATACAGTAATTCCGCTGCATACATCATTCACACGGCGCGCCCACACGGTGGAGAGTTGCGTATAAAGGAGGCCCGGAGGACCCTGATTGATATATAACTACCTATTCTACATAACTCCCCTTCCGATTCATATCACTGTATCTAGTATTGGCCATTCATTTGCCTAATTTCAACTATCTTGTTTCTTTTCTCGTGTCTTTTTCACATCATTTGACGGCAGGAATGTCGTTTGGTCTCTCAATCGGAGACATTGTTCTCTGCAGCCAAATTACCTATCGGTTATTCACTGCCGCAACCTCAGGCCGAAAGAATGCACCACGCGATCTACGAGAGCTCGAAGGTGTCTTGTTCAGCTTGAATTACTCTCTGAGTCAGTTGCAAAAGGCTTCTTTAGTTATTTCGTCCCGAAACTTCAATACTCTCGACCATGATACCACCGATGTTTCTCAACAATTAGGGTTTATGGTCCGCTCGTGCCTCCAAACCCTAGGACATCTCGAAAGCGCCACAGACAAATACCGAGCAACGGTTATCACACCTTCATTGGCATCTCACAATAGACACAGACTCACGATTTTGCACTCCCGGCCATTCACTGCTCAAGTCAAAACACAATGGCGACGGATCATGTGGGATCTCCGAGGCGAGTCTTTGAGCCAATACCGACGGAAGCTCGAGTCGCATCTTGGTGCCATCAATCTGCTCTTGAATACGCTCATATGGCAAGTTGGGCGATGTAATCACCACTTGGATCTCCCGTCGCTCATGCATTCTAGGTCCGCCACTGATCGCATCGAACAAGACGGTATGCGCCAGGGACGAAGGATCGAAGAATTACTACATCAAGCATCACACTTCAACAATGCACTGTTTTACCTGAGACCGAAAACAAGCCGCGCTCCACTGAATAGTTCATTTGAGCTCTGTCGTGGTTCCTCATCGAGCGTAGCATCGATACTTGAGTCGGTTCCGTCAAGGTCTAGACATAGGCTGGATCGGGATTCTGCGGGTGTATATTTAAGGGAAGTCCGCAGGGCCATGCAGGTTTCTCTAACAGGATAAGAGGTTAATCATCAGATTTGCGCATATGGGGTTTTCTGCAGAAGTGTCGGGCTTGTAGGATGACATGTCTCACTCACTTGCGATAGAGTCATGGCGTTACCTTGTGATTTATAGCCAGTTGATCATGTATAATTTAATGTTAATACCAAAAGCCAAGAATTCCGAAGATATTCTTCAAACTACAATGGCAGATAATTGCCGGTTTGAACCCTGCAATATATCATAACCACAATACTTGTCATATTCATATGTATTGTAAGACATATTCTCAGCAAGATAAACGTATCTGCCACCCAAAGCAATAAAAAGACGACCCAAGCCCGCGCTTTTCTAAGGAAAGACATTATTCGTTAAAAAGTGAAGACACACATAAAGGGAGGGAATAAGAAAGAAAGGCATAACGAAAGCATAACAGAAGGCAACCAAAAAAAGAGATAACAGAATCATAAAACCCCAGGCTGAGACACAGCAAAAAGAAAGAAGAAGACCCCCAATTCCATTCCGATAAATGGACGGAATGAAGAAACCAGTAAAACAGGCGGCCAACTATCTATACTCCACAACAACGCGCTTCCAAGTCCGCACTCCCTCGTCATCCTCATCACACATTTGCTGGATCGTTTCATTGCGTTTTTGCACCTCCTCGCCCACCTCAAACGAAGATGCCATTGGAGATGGAGGACTACTCGCCGTGGACGATATCTCACGTTGCTGTTCTCTAGCCTGGGCCGCGAGGGCTCCACTGCTTGGCAGGAGGCTTGTATGCGATAAAGGCTGTAGGATATCGCAAGCCGATGGAGGGCGCGAGGCCGATGAGACGATATTTCCTTTTTCCATGGTAGACTGGAAGCAGAAGTCTTGGTCTTCTTCTTGTTTGGATTGAGATATAGGGGTGATGTTTGTTTGTCTCAGACGACGATATTTGATATATCGGTGAATGAAGATGAGGCTGAGAAGAGAAAAGCTGACTAGGGTGGTCACGGGCAAAAAGAACCCTGTAGTCAACTGCAGGAGCTCACGGGACAGACAGTTGTATCTTTGTTCTGCTGTGTGCATGACTTGGTTTTGGGTGGTTGGATAGCGTCCACCACTCGCGAAAGATAAGTTGAAACTGCCTCCCCTGTAGAACGGGGGGGGAACAGCTCAACTTAAGACTGCGCGTGTGGGGAAGTAGATCTAGGCCAGATGAGAAGGATCTTAGCCCGGTGAAAGATACAAGTATTGAATCGAGACTATGAGCGGACTTGGCGGGGAGGAGACAAAAGGCAAGTGGAAAGAACTAGTGGGACGGTGTGCAGGGGGGGGCGAGCTTTTTAGTTCATATATAAGAGCTAGAGATCGAATATTACAGAGTAATATATCCTAAATAGGCTATGGGTGGGGAAGGGGGCATGATCGAAGGTGATCCCTGAAGCACCGGGATATATATCTGCAAGATAGGGCTTCTGCGGTACATGTGAGAAAAAAAAAAAAAAAAAAAGGTTTAAAAAAAAGAAGAATACCGAACCCGACAACCAGGATTTCTAAAGTGGCAAATCAGACATTGATAGATCGAAAAGCCAAAGAACATACAAAAATACAAGACAGAAAGATTTAAAAAAAAAAAAGAATGTCTTTGCCTCATCTCCGTAGTCCGTAGTCTTGACCAGTATACTCCATAGAAAAGAAAAAAGTGGATAATATAAGGCCAGCCAGCCTTGGTCTCCACTCAGCTTACCTTTTACACGCCACCCTTGAACATTTTCTTTGTTCATATTCGAATAAGTGCGATTCTCATGGAATGTTCTAAAGTTTAACAAATCCCTCGAGAGTGATTTAAAGCCCGGAGAAAACAAGCCATGTGCGGTCGATCATGACAAATGTACTCCGTACTCCGTCCTCTCTGTATGTACATACGTCTCATCGAGATCGTCTTTGACTTTCAGCTGGCGCCTGCATGGGTCCCCCGCGCTAAGTCATTTCATACATCGAATCACAATGCAGCGTGCCCGACTCGGCTATTATAGTGGGCTACACTAAACCATGCAAATACAGTCCAACCCCGCTAAAATGTAAGGATCGTCGAGTAAATCCTTACGAATTAACGGGAATTAACGGGGGGTTGTACGGAGTAAAGAAGTGAGGGTTGGTACTTTGGGGCTAATCTGCCTTGTATTATATAATCTTATGTTAGCCCTGGAAGTTTTAAAACCAGCAGAAAAGGGCGGAAGACAGAGAGGTGAGTCAATGGAATTTAATAAAACACGTGGGCGGTAGACCTTAGACCTAAATAGCCAATGTTAATTCGTTTAATATGAATCTGATAATATAAGTAAAATAGTTAAGGAGTACGGAGTATTAATGGAGATGTTCCAAAGTGATTGGGATTTACAAAAGAAGTGGAGTACATTTTAACGGGATTTGACTGTACAGGGGACTGAGTGTGTATAGTTAATTATCTACTTTTTACCCCTTTGGTCTCATGACTCTCTCATCTTATGCTTAAAGTGGATCGAATGATCGCCATCAGAGAAACAGCACGAATAATAAGATGATATGGGATGATATATTTGTATCTATTTACTGGAGTTATCCCTATAAATATATAAGAAAAAAAAAAAAGTAATATAAAATATAAACTCCAATCTAGAGTTTGGCAGTGACACTCTTCAGCTCCTCTTTGGCCTGTTCACGCAATTTCATGCGAAGGATCTTGCCGGATGGATTCTTTGGGATCGCATCGAGGAATACAACTCCGCCGGTAATCCGCTTGAACGCGGAGACCTTGTTGTCCAAGTAATGCGCGATCTCGTTGGCAGTGGCGAATTGGCCAGATCTAAGCACCACATATGCGCGAGGATGCTCATTGTTATTGCTAATTTGGTTTTTTAGAAGAAAATCCAAAAATAGGCGAATGCATAATTTTATAAAAAAAAAGAAAAGAAAAGGAAAAAAAAAAAAAAAAAAAAAAAACAAAACTTACATGACAACTCCGATCACTGCGACATCTGAGATCGCCGGATGTTCAAGTAAAAGAGCCTCCAACTCAGCGGGCGCCACCTGATTGCCTTTGACTTTGATTAATTCCTGTTTTTCTCTTTAGTTTTCTTTTCTTCTCTTTTGAAGAATTAAATATAAGAATAAGAATAAAAAAATACCTTCATTCGATCCACCACATGGATCTTGTCATGATCGTCCACAAATGCAATATCCCCCGTCAGAAGCCAACCATCCGCCGTTTTGGTCTCTTTCGTGGCCTTCTCGTTATGCCAGTAGCCCTTCATCACATTCGGAGCTCGAACCCATAACTCGCCACGACAATTCCGTTCGGTCACCTCGGATCCATCAAGCATAATCTTCGCCTCACAATTGGCATTGAGCTCACCGACTGATGCAGAAGTACTAATTTCAGTAGGAACCCATCCTGTAACCGAACAAGTCGCCCTATAAGAAGTATAGAAGATGAGTTTAGTCCATCAACATGGATTCAGCAAAAAAAAAAAAAAAAAGAAAAGAAAAAGAAACTCACTCAGTCATCCCCCATCCCTGTTTAATATTAATCTTCCCAGGAGGCCACAACCTCTCAACCTCCTCACAAACCTCCCTCCCCAACGGCGCAGCACCACTCCCAATCAACTCAACACTACTCAAATCATACATCTTAACAGCAGGATGCTTGGCCAACGCAACAACAACCGGCGGCACGAGAATAAAATCCGTAATCCGGAATTTCTGCGTATACTCCAACATCTTGACAAACTCAAACCTCGCCATGAGATACACGGGCGTGGCACGGTAAAGCGCAGCAGCAATGAAGATATTCTGCGCCATCGCATGGTACATAGGCAAGAAACACAACCATCGCGAGCGCTGCAGACGACCCTTGTAATCCGGATGCAGACTAGCCGTGTGACAGTATTGGAGCATATTGGCGACGTAGTTCTTGTGCGAGATCTCGACGCCCTTGGGACGACCCGTTGTCCCGCTTGAGTAATTGAGTGCCAGAGTGCGCGACGAGAGGGTTGGTGTATCCAGCTCGTCCCAGACGAAGGCGGTGCCTTCTTCTTCTGAAGCGACGAGGTCGCTCCAGTACGCGCAGCTGTCTTGCGGGGCTGGGACGCCGTCGTAGATGGAGCTGTCGTAGGCGAAGACGCGGCTTGTGGGGAGGTTGGCTTGTTTGGCTGCTTCGAGGCCGGTTTCTAGACTGCTTTGCGCGCAGAGGAGGTATGTGGCGCCGCTGTCGTGGAGTTGGTAGGCTAGTTCGCGGGATACGTAGGTTGGGTTTGCGCCGGTGAAGATTCCGCCGGCCATTATCACGCCTAGGAATATTACGGGGAAGAAGAGGTCGTTGCCTGAGAAGAGGAGGACGCGGTCGCCGGGTTGGAGTCCGGATTTGCGGAGACCTGCGGCGAACCGCTGGCTCCAGAGGCGGAGATCATGGGTGGTGAGGTAGTGGGTTTCTGGGCGGGCTGCTTCGAGGTAGTTCTTGTGGGTTTTGGAGAGAGGGGCTGTGGGGGATTTGAGGAGAAGAGAGGCTAGATGGATGTCTGGGATGTCGATTGTCCAGCGAGATTTATATGGCATGTTGGGGATATAACAGGTGATGCTTCGATGGTATTGTGCGAGGAGGAAAAATGGACTTGAGGGGATAGGATGGCGAGGGCTTCATATAAGTAAAGAATAGATCTATGGACCAGTTCTGCACAATTCCTCTGTTTCCTGCATAGTTCACAATGCATCTCCCCGCATTGTCGGTTATATGTCTGCATAGTAAATGTAGGGTTTGCGGGGAACCCGACTAGCCCGAGCCTCGGATGTTCACACTGTACGGGGTAATAGCTCAGTCATTGAACAAGTTGGCGGAGCTGAGACATAAAGGCTATTAACAAGTTAAGTTCTCCCTCCATGAATGGCTGGGGTATGGGATATTGGATGTAATAAACTAGATCATATCCTAAAATTAACGATCCAAAAGAATAAAGGACTGGAAATAATACAATTGTTTTGAAACTTGAGCTCCATGCATAAAATAATTCATTTACTACACCCCGGCCAACCCAGAATACATGAAAAAAAAAGGGAAAAGACAAATAGCAAAGGCTATTAAGAGCATATTCATGAATCCTCCCCACCCAAACACGTAACGGTTGCCTTCATCTCACTAACAACCTTCTCCTCCAGTCGGTTCTCGGCCCCGGAATTTGGGTTGACAGGTTTTTGTCGGGACCACTCCACCTCCTTCTCATTGGCCGCCACAATGCGTAAACGCAGAGCAGCGCGACGACCGAGCAGCTCGTCAATATCTTCCTTGACTTGCACCCGATCCCATTTGAGATCTTGGATAGCCTGTGCGTCAACTCCGGCACTGGCACCCGCCTCACGGAACCGGTCTAGGATGAATGAGATCAATGCGAGCGAGTAGGCCTCGGAGACCATACTGAGGCTGATCCACTTGGATGTCGGAACGGAGGAAACTGCGGTATGGCTGGAGAATGCTTCTGCCGCGCGTGTCAGACGGGATTCGAATTGGTTGAGGAATGCCGCCACCTCGGGCGCGGTCCGCATGACACTGTAGAGCATGTTCAGACACAGAGGAAGGAATCCTCCAGTCCAGATGGCGTATAGTCGGGAAACAGGATCAAAGGGCCCGAAGGACTTCTTTTGGCAGAGAATATTGGTAAGACGGCAGGTGGACAGTTTCATCAAGACAGCCTCAACAGCAAGGTGTTCTGCGAGCATGGGCAGGGTTGACATCTTGACCAGGATTGAGACGCTGAGCTCGGCGTACACAGGGTCGCCAGCCACGGCTAATTGGTCGGCCCACGAGAAGAGCGTCGTCGCATGACGAGCGGTGTCATGTTCCTCAATATGGTACACGATATGCTCGTAGAGGCGATCAGCGTTCTTCACTTGCAAGCATGTCTGCAGAATAGCGATGATAATGGCGAAATCTTTCGGAGCGCATTTCTCCGGCGCGTCATGGAGATAAGTGGTGAGGGATTTGAAGCCCTGGGCCACTATTGTTTTCACCACTTCCACGATGACAGTTAGATCCGAAGAAACCTCGGCCCTTTTGTTGATAGCTTCGGGGGCACTCCGAGAGGGGCTATCCAGGTGGAACTGAAGGGAAAGGAACAGCACGTTCAGGAGGGACCGGAAGTAATCGGTATCATCATTGACCAAAGCCTCTTCGTATGTTAGATGCCGGGAGCGCAGTGCCTTCCAGGTAATCTCCAGCAACTGGAAGACTTCAGCGCCTCGAGCTTGTACCTCGACAAGCCGCTGGAGAAGTGCCTGGGCGAAATCAACGCGTGCTTGTTGAATCCGCTCGAAGATGGCTTCGGGAGGGCCACTGCTAATATTGGCCTTCAAACAACTTTGAGCGACCAGTGCCATTGACTTTCGGACCTCGGTATCAGGCATGAAATCGGCACAGTGTTCGATAGCGAAGAACTTCCAGCTATGGAGAAGGCTCTATTTCAGGTTAGAAAATAAACTCATTTGCGATGAACACGAAGAAAACTTACCACCTGCGCCTCGACAAGAGACAGATTGATGTTGGCGCGCTCAAACTCCTCGGCAAAGCCACGGTTCTTGGTGCCAGCCCAGGCAAAGTCGTAAGACAACAGCTTGTCTCCCATACTCAAGTCGTAGTAGTAATCACGTCCTAGACTACGAACCTCAAGCGGTGTCCTTTTGAAGTCAACGATCTTGCAGCCCGAGTACCGCATCTCGAAGTTCTTCTTCAAGTTGGCATGCAATGAGGAATTGTAAGCTGAGACCTCAACTGCATCCTTGGCATACCAGGACACCAATGGAATCAAGGTCTTTATGAAGCTTCGGTCACCCACCTCCTTTGCAGAGTGTAGGTAGACCGCGGACAGATCCGCGACAACGGCTGCAATCCGCGTGGCATAGATTTGCCCCATCACTGGTAGAGAAGAAATCTTCAACTTGGAGACGTGGTTGATTATGCTGGTGAAGAACTGAGGATGCTTGCTCAGATGGGAAGTGGCCCATGGCCAATTTTCTTGGGCACGAGAGACAAACTCGAGCAACGCCAACGCCACTTGCGGCTCTTGTTGATCAATGTGAGACAATTTCTCAAGTGCCATTTTCAGGAAAGGCACACTCCTCATCCTGAGACCGTCAGAGGTGGGTTCCTTCTTCAGAGTCTGACGAGGGGATGATCCTGTGAGAATGAAAACTGCAAGCCACTGCTGGCGCTTGCTAACAAATGTCGATAGTAGTTGCCATACTGCAAGAAGTAGGGGCCCATCACACATTGGCTTGTCGAGCTGTGAGAGTACATCAAGGAACAGACAGGCCGACTCTGCCCCAAGGTGGCCAACAAGGGAAGGGGGTTCATTATCTGGGTTTGAAGCGGCACTGGAGATCAAAATCTCGAGAAGCGACACAACCGGCAACCTGTAGGAATCGTGGAGCGCGTAGAGTTTGACTAGGACTGGGCTGGCCTTGAACAATTGTTCCTCCAGAAGCGAGCCAGGTTGTTCTGCTAGTTGGGCTGCCTGCACAAGTTTGATGCAGAGCCGTAGTGTAGATTTGACCTGGTTCTCGAAGAGGGTGAGATATCTGAGGTGGAGTGTTGGTGGTGTCTGGAGACCCTCGGCGATCAACCGAAGAATTGGATTGAAGGGCAGGTCAGCGATTGACCGAGGACGCAGCATATCCAAAATGTACGCTGCCGATGTAGAGAAGACGCCGGTAACTTTGGTTTCGAGTTTCGGGCTATCATTGATTCCGAAGGCATAGTACAGAACACGTTCAAACGAATTGGCAAGCATCGAGTTGATCTTTAACCGCTGTTCTGGTAGATTGAACCTCCAATTTCCACAGCTGTTGAAAATCTCCAGCATTGTGCGTGTGAAGTTCAACATAATAGTTCTCATGACGTGGGATGGAATACCTGCACTCCAATCAGACGCAATGGATGATTTGCTTGTCACGCTGCCCGGGCTCTTTCGCAATACTGCTCGAGATACCGCATCGTCGATGACAGCGTCCACGAGGTCAACACAGCTCAGGAGGAACGGATACTCGCCAGAAGGAATTTCCATGGCTGAAACAATTGCCGTCATGACACCACCCTTGCCGTCGGACCCAATGAGACTGCTGCGACCAAGGAAAGGCCATACTCGATTGGGCAGAATCTTTAGAAGTGCCTTGATAAAGCGAAGGCATGCCATGGTTGCATCCAAAGACTTGCCTAAATCTCCTCGGGTGCCGATAGTCTGCAAATTTCGTTCAAAGATATCGAAGATCACAGAAATGATGTCACCCTGTTTAGACAATCCATCACTAGCCATCTCTAGGATCCTCTTGCCGCTTGCATCGCCAGAACTTTGTGTCTTAGACTGGGCTATCAAGTCTGTCAAGAGAGCAATGATTTCCGTGGCAGTGTCGTCAGTCCACCCAGGCGAGTAGACGCCGGTCTCGCACCATTCTTCAAGCCAGCTTCCTAGAAAGCTTAAGCAGGAGTATCGATGTTCCCACATGATGACCGCGGGTCTTGAATCGGAGATGACTTGACCAACGGTCAGCCGTGGGATTTCGGAAGAACCGCTGACAATTATAGCATTGCTTGGTTCTCTCTCGACAAGACGGTTCTGGGGTGGCGTTTCAAACATTGGGAGGGGCTGGAGTAGGGAGACGAAATTGGCATTCTCGTCCTCTCGAATGGTGGCATACCCCTGGAAAGCTGGCGAGACAATCTGTGTAAAGGATTCCATGTTCTCGATCTCCTCGAGAATAGCCGGTAGGCCTTCTTCATTCAAAGAGTGCCCGCTGACAAGAGCACGACAGAGCTGTAGAAATGGTGCAGTTTCATAAGGGAAACGGGACCGTGCAACGCGAAAGACGCCCTCCATCAGATTCTGATCCTTGGCAAATACAGACTTAGGATCGGTGACAGGCCCTAGAGAATTCGAGTCTCTTGACAGCTCATTGTCATCATCGCTTAAGACAGCCAGGACTGACCCCACGATTTCCGGGGAGTAATCCAAGAACACAATAGCAACTCGGATGAGGTCAAGAAGTGACAACCGAACCCATCGGGTTGTCAGGCCATCATCAACGGCTGACATTGACCCAGTCTTACTAGCCAAGGCTATGATGGTGTTAAATGCCGATTCTCTTAGAACATCGGATGTAAGGATGGGAATAGCATCTTCAGCCGTGCTTTGCGGAGTCCTGGCGCAGTCAAGCAATATTTCATATGGTGACTGTTCGGATGCTCGAGATAACCCTGCATTATGTGTCTGTTCGTTGTAGGAGGCGGCGGAATCACGGCTCAGATCATGCTCTCTAGCGGTTCTCTCGTCTTCTGCCAGCTCCTGAATGGTATACAAGATCAAACCCCATGAAAAAGCTGCCGGATTCACGGTGTTCAAATCGCCGCATGCAGTAAGAAAGATCTCGTTGATTTGAGAGATTTTCTCTTTGCACAAGAAGTAAGGCTGTGGCGATGATCGCATGTCTGTCTCATTCTGAATGGAGGAGATGGCGAGTGAGGGTTTTAAAAACGCCAATGTGGTAAGTGACGCGAAAGCTTGAAGGGGCAACAACACTTCTACAGGTTGCTGACAAGGCTATGAGAAAACGTCAGCATTCCAATATCTCGAAATAGGCGACTGGCCACTTACCACTTGAATTGTCTCAAAGAAGCTATAATCAGCCATGAGCTGGAGCCAGGACAATAGGAGGTCTGCAGTTGGAAATTCCACTGAGGCTTGAAGCTGGTGGAACATGAGTTGCACGATATGAACAATCTCCTCCACGAGACTTGTTCTCCAGATGTTCTCCAGTTCCTCGCTGCTTTCTGCAGCACTGAGCCAGCCACCGTCTCCTTCCAAGCTCGTTAACCGACTGCGTATCGAGGTGATACATTCTTGAAGAAATCGGTCCAATCCATCACCTGTCGACTTGTCTTGGAAAATTGTGGATCCTATTTTGCGCAAAGCAAGTTTGCGATCATGACTGGCGGGGGCGGTCGAGTCGGCTGAGATGCCATCGTGCAGGGACAGAGCAAGCAGCTTGCGGAGTGTCTTCACCACATGGCTTGCCTCGGAAAGATACACTTCGCGGAGTCGCAGACGTCTCTTCTCCTCCTTTTCGAATGACTGAACGCCGTCGCTTCTAGCTGTTTGGTTCAATAGGTTGGCGAAGTTGGGACCGGCTAGAGAGCCTCGAAGATTCTCGGTCCCAGCCGCGGTCTGTAGACTGGTCGCTTCCTCGTTGGAAAAGCCGAGTGTGAGGCGCGTTGCCGGACGGTTCTGCCATTCCAATACAGCGATGCGAAGAGCGGCAATTTCGTCGATTCCGGCTTGCTTGCTTAACCATACCGCGTCGGCCTTGATCTCCTTCAGGTCAAACGAGCTTTGGCCATTGGTCTCGACATGGATTGCGGCGGTTTTGGATTCGAATTCGGATTTTGATTTTGCGGAAGGGGATGGGAACGGTTTTAGGCCGTCAGAGAGTAGGCGAATAGATTCGGAGTGTGAAAAGAAGACATCGATATTGCCTCCGTCGTCAGCATGACTTTCGGGATCAATGGCGTAAAGAAAAGCTCTTCTCCAGGACCTGCATTATATCAGCATATTGCCTTCCATGAAGACAAGTGATTAGCGTGAACATACAAGAGTTGAACGTCCCCGGAGAAGCACTTGTCCAGGGACGGGAAATAGGTCTCCGGAACGGGAGCCATGTTGGGCAATTAGATCATTATAGGATAGAAAGGAAGAGCGGAAGGAGGCGACACCAGGAAGGCGACGGGAGAAGAAAGAAAAGGTAGATGGCGAGCGTGGGGAGCTCTTGAATTGAGAGGGAGCTTCAAAAGAATATTATTCACCGCGACTGGGTCAACAATCAAGTGCCCTATCTGATCTTATTGCCAGGCGGTGAGAGGAAACTTGTAAACCTCGACATTCTATTGACTCACCCCCGTCCAACTTGGGTAATTCGCAAACATCTGATTTGGTTTAAAGTGTGCGAGATTCAAGCTTATAAGCAGAACGATCATTAGATTATCTCAACCCCCCGATATCCTACGACAATCCTCGGTCATGGCGGACCTTGTCGACCACTCCCCCCACCATGCCACGAAAGCAGCCAAACTGGCCAGCGCATCCAACGTGATTTTGATCGACAATTACGACTCATTTACCTGGAACGTCTACCAGTACCTCGTGCTTGAAGGTGCTACCGTCACAGTCTACCGTAACGACGAAGTCACTGTTGAGGACTTGGTCGCAAAGAAGCCTACTCAACTAGTTATCAGTCCTGGCCCCGGCCACCCCGAGACCGATGCAGGAGTCAGTAACGCCGCAATCCAATATTTCAGCGGAAAGATTCCGATATTTGGTGTGTGTATGGGCCAGCAATGTATGATCACCTCGTTTGGTGGTAAGGTGGATGTGACTGGCGAAATTCTGCACGGAAAGACATCAGAGTTGAAGCATGACTCCAAGGGTGTATACCAAGGATTGCCAACCTCACTGGAGGTTACCCGGTACCATTCGCTGGCCGGAACACACTCGACTATCCCAGATTGCTTGGAAGTGACCTCGCGGGTCCAGCTGGGGGACGGCAGTGGGAAGAACATCATTATGGGTGTTAGACACAAGGAGTTCGCAGTGGAGGGTGTTCAGTTCCACCCTGAGAGTATTTTGACGCAATACGGGCGCAAGATGTTCAGAAACTTCTTGGAGCTCACTGCTGGGACCTGGGATAACAAGCAGGGAGCAGCAGCAGCCGCACCGGCAAAGAAGCTGTCCATTTTGGACAAGATCTACGCCCATCGCAAAAATGCGGTTGACGAGCAGAAGAAGATTTCGGCTCTGCGACCAGAGGCTCTTCAAGCCGCATATGATCTGAACATTGCGCCTCCTCAATTGTCATTCCCTGAGCGCCTGAGACAATCAGAATATCCTCTGTCACTCATGGCGGAGATCAAGCGTGCATCTCCCTCAAAGGGCATCATCTCGGCCGACGTGTGTGCTCCTGCTCAAGCACGGGAGTACGCCAAAGTTGGCGCTAGCGTCATTTCTGTCCTCACAGAGCCGGAGTGGTTCAAGGGCACCATAGATGACCTACGGGCTGTTCGTCAGAGTCTGGAGGGACTCACCAACCGACCCGCTGTCCTCCGAAAGGAGTTCGTCTTTGATGAGTATCAAATCCTGGAGGCACGTTTGGCTGGAGCTGACACAGTTCTATTGATTGTGAAGATGCTGGACATTGAGTTGTTGACTAGACTGTATCATTACTCGCGCAGTCTCGGCATGGAGCCTCTGGTCGAAGTCAACACACCCGAAGAGATGAAGATTGCAGTTGACCTGGGTTCTGAAGTCATCGGTGTCAACAACCGAGACCTGACGAGCTTCGAGGTCGATCTCGGAACTACTAGTCGCCTAATGGATCAAGTCCCCGAGAGCACAATTGTGTGTGCCCTTAGTGGAATCTTGGGGCCCCAAGATGTGGAAGCTTATAAGAAAGAAGGTGTTAAGGCCATTCTTGTTGGAGAGGCGCTCATGAGGGCACCTGATACCTCTGCCTTTGTGGCACAGCTCCTCGGCGTTTCTAATGAAGACTCTGCGGGTGCATCATCAGGTTCTCCATTGGTGAAGATTTGTGGAACTCGGACCGAAGAAGGAGCTCTGGCTGCTATTCAAGCTGGCGCAGATTTGATTGGCATCATCATGGTTCAGGGCCGCTCACGACTTGTCCCAGATGATGTGGCCCTCGGCATTTCCCGGGTGGTCAAGTCAACCCCTCGTCCGGCTGGTACATTGCAGCAGTCGACAAACGCTACATCATTGGAATGGTTCGATCACTCTACTAATATCTTGCGTCACCCTTCCCGTGCTTTGCTCGTGGGCGTATTCATGAACCAGCCGCTATCATATGTCATTTCTCAACAACAAAAGCTGGGTCTCGATGTTGTGCAACTGCATGGATCCGAGCCATTGGAGTGGTCTGGTTTGATTCCAGTTCCTGTCATTCGCAAATTCGCCCCTGGTGACATTGGCATTTCTCGCAGAGCATACCACACTCTTCCATTGCTGGACTCTGGGGCCGGAGGCTCTGGAGAGCTTCTGGAGGAGAGCGGTGTCAAGAAGGTCCTCGATAGTGATGAGGGATTGAGGGTAATCCTGGCTGGAGGATTAAACCCGGACAACGTGGTCGACACGGTGAAAAAACTGGGCGAGTCTGGCCAAAAAGTCGTCGGATTAGATGTCAGCTCAGGCGTAGAAACAAATGGTGCTCAGGACTTGGAGAAAATTCGAGCCTTTGTGAAGTCTGCCAAAAGCATTCGGCAATGAACAAACAGGCTAGGGACGTGCATTTACACTACTCAGGATGACTTCTTTTCTCATTCTATCTCGGGATTTCATATTCGATACTCATGGGGAATATACATAGCAATCAAAATTATTCCGGGTTTCTTCTACATTCACCTTACTTTCACTTGTTTGATAACGGCTTTACTTGATATACCAAGGCATGAGGTTTCATCCTTCCTTGAAGTAGATCTCAATATTAAGCTTCCGAAATCCCATTATTTCCTACTTTCTCATCACTTGCACCCTCTAGAAATCGTCAGACTCGGTACATTCCATACCAACGTTGCAAAAGCAGACTAAGTTTGCAGCTGTGAGTAGTATATCAGTATTGCCTCGAAGTGCTGTCCCCTAGCAATATATGTATTTCTCTTCTGACGCTCTTCTGTCCTTTTCCGAACGACATCTCAATCGACAACGGAGGCCAAACGAGCGTTAGCGTCATCGAACTAATCCTCTCATTCATTACCTGTCTTCCAGCAATATACACACTTCATTTCTGAAATATTTCTACAGCCAGAAAATCGGAACTTCTGGCCGCAAAACTAATCCTCGCAGTATCTCAGTCTTCTCTTCTGGCAGCATAACACATTTCATCACTTAAGTCATTCTTGGGGAATTCCCGCTGGCAGTTGAAATAAAGCGAATCACTACACTCATTTACCTAACTCTCAGACAACAGCGTGGATCCAGGATGGGGAAGCCGTTCCAAAAAGTTCATGCCTCTATGGTAGGCAAGTTCGAAGACGGCGTCGGTGAAAAGATCCCACAGTGGATTCGGGCAAATGGAGGGCAATTCTCGAGAGACGTGAACTCACGAACCACTCATCTCATTGCCACAAAGGAAGCATTCAAAAGCAATGCGGTTCCAGGTATATTGATTGCCATTGAATGCTTCAAAGACCTCGAAACTAATCAACAAAATACAGTGGAAAATGCCAAGAAGCTCAGCGCTGTCAAGATCGTCTCATACGATTGGCTTGAAGACTCGCTGCTGTCAAACAACCGCCGGCCAAAGCCCGAGGGACCATATCTTCTGAACAATCTGATGAAGCCCGAGAGGAAGGAAGTTCAGAAGAAGAAGGTCATACCGACGTCCTCAAAGGTGGCAAAGGAGACAAAAGGGAATATTCCAAAGCGTCGGATAGGTATCAGTTTTCCGGGGCTCCATTTTATTGTTACAATGCAGACGGTGCTGACATGTCATGTCCTCTACAGTTGATCCTTTCCTCGCCCCAAAGGGCAAAAAAAAGCGTAAGCATGATCCTCATTTCACGTGGCATATTCAGGTGCAATACTTACCCATCACAGCCGTGCGTCAGGTGTACCAGGACCGAAAGACAAACGTGGTTTACAGCATCACCTTGTTCCGCCCATCGAAACCACCGGTCACCAGCAGAGAAAAGTACCAATTGACTGTAAGCGATATTGAGATATTCCATGAATTCCTTTTAGAAAAAGGTTATTGACAACTACCTAGCTCTTCCAGACTATTTCCGAACCGCATACCTACTCAACCTACGCCAAATTCAGCCGCGTTGGCACGTCCAATGTCGAACTTCTGGCGGGACCAAGATGTAAGCTTGAGGTTGCCGTGGAAAAGTTCAAGCAGTTCTTCAAGGACCAGACTGGCAAGGAATGGGACGAAAGGGCAAACGGAAAGATGCCACACCCAAAGAGAGACGTGGACGGAAACAGCTTGCCTGTTCACGAGGGTTGGTTCTATCTTGAGGAAAAGACGACTATCCTTGGTGCGTTCCTCAGAGAACCCCAGAGTACAAGTTGTGAGGAATCAACTGGCCGCATCGCCTCCGATGGTACCGAGGAGCGTGGTGTCGAGGACGGTGTCCAGGATGGTGTGGAGGACAAGATGGCAAATCACCGAGCTAAAGATGGGGACGAAAATGGGGACTAGGATGGACCTGAAGCTGATGGGAACGAAGAGCAGGAAATGGATAAGTAGATAGTAAGTACCCAAGGATGACGGGAATCCCTCTAGGTGGCTAACACCTGCACTCACGAGTGGATTCCCCAGTGGATGTGGATGGATCAATTTTATCGCAGATTTTATGCCGAATGCAAATTCGAAGATTTATGTCAGCACATACGAAGGATATGTACGCGGTTTGCTCTTATGCTTTTAGAAACACTTCCTAATTTAAGCAAACTTTAGTGGCATTGTACAGCAATGCGAGGAAGTAAACGAGTATTCCAGGATACTATACCATGTGTCAAGCTCGATATCCATTAACCATTCTTTCTGACTTGGTATACTGTGCATATATCTGGGTAGTTTCTCCTTGATTCTTGATTTCACTGATCTAAAGCTGCAACTCTAATAGCCCCTTTAGAAAAATAAGTTGTAGTGAATTATCGTATCTTTCTAGGGCTAACACGCATTATTATGGGGAATTAATATGGGGCCGAGTATGGAATAGATCATAGGGCAGATCATGGAAGTACATACTATGTGGCTGGGATGATTCAGGGGCTGTGTTTTTTACTATGGCGATACCATAATAAATAACACTTAGACTGAAAATGACCGCCAAGGTAGCCCATACCTAATTGGGTTAGACTCCTGTGCCATCAGTGATTTTTGCTCCCTTGGTACTAGATTTTCTTTTTCAGATGTTCTTCTTAGGGTCTTTCTAGTTGTCTTTCTAGTTGTCTTTCTAGTTGTCTTTCTAGTTGTCTTATAGATGTCTCTTTATATATCTTTTTATATGTCTTTTCCATATATATATGAAGGCGGCAAAAAAACATAAACCACACAGATCACGTTTGACGGTGACGTTTCTATGTATAGGTATCACAAGAGTTTTGAATAGCGTCAACATTTGGTACGTATATTTCTAAGGCATTAATATCATTGACCTGATAATCTAGGTATTTAGGCATTATAAGGCATCATCTGGGTCCAATATTACTACTAACTATAAAGTGGGAGTGGTCTAAATTACTGTCGGGCAATATAAACCAATGAGAGAGTTATGTGACGGGTGATTCCTATAGTCGCCCGTAAATTCAGGGTTTAATTCTTCTGCCGGTCTTAATTCAGGCCGCCAGGCCAAGGTTAGGCATTGAGGCATGAACATTTACCGGGAAATAGGGGTTTGGCAGCTGGCGCCTATACCGCTGCGTAAAGGAGTGATCAGCTATATATTTGAGGACCAGGGCGCCACTGCATGGGAATTCCAGTAGTAGTTTAATCTCTGTGGCCCACCCTATGAGCTTTCAAGAAGGGATCCCGATCAATTATCAATTACCATTTTATCGAATGTTCATTCTAAATCCCATGAAGTGGGAATGATACACTGTAAGTTCTGAACTATGAGATTTGACAGTATTGTCCGTCGAACCGAAGTATCACAGCTATAGTTGTCGCCACGAGGAGTGGGAAACAACCATAAACATAACCGTATGAAGCAATTCTACCACATATCGTTGTAGCAACAATAATATTCACCGTATCACGCTCGTGGCCTGTTATAGCTCGTGGTCCCTACTTCCCATGCCCCCAGATATAATGGGCAGTGTGAAAGTCTGAGCGGTGTTCATCTGTGCTATAGGCCATGTCCAAGCAGCCAGACGCCTCATCATATCCCCATACTCGTGATCACTAACCCATTCCCGTTCGTCAATTGACCCCTGGAATACATATCTTGTGCACGGATCAAAATCCAACGACTCTGTGAAATGAACTTTCAATCCACCATCGTAGTACCCAGATAGCACACGCGCACGATTGTACTTATCAAATGTGACAATTGTTGTCTGGTTCTGATTAGTATTAAAATACCGTATTATCAAAGGGAATACTAACCGGGAAAAGATGGTGCAACTGGTTGTTGTCATTCTGCGATGTGCTGAGACGTCTTTTCTGCAAATTCATTGCTTTCAACATTCGATTGGCGAGCACTACCAGCTCTGTGATAGATGGTCGATTCTCATCAGACATGTCGATCAACGCCATAGCCCATTGATGGCATTGGAAGGGATTATTCCTGCGGCCTGTGCGTATAATCCTAAAATCGTGATGATTCTCCAGGGGTTTGAACCAGTAGTACCCTGGATAACTATATAAGACGGTTAGTAGACGATATTATTTCGTTCTGTGTGGTGTTACTAACTGGTAGACATTCCATTCGTATACCATCCGGGCCTCTTCAGCCTCATAAATCTTCCTCCACCTCTCTTCGTTTAGTCTGCACAGCTCTTCCCGTCGTTTGCGTCGCCGTTCTAGATGCTCTTCACTCTCCTTGTCACTTTCCTCATTACTATCCCACTCACTTGTCTCCTCGTGCTCGCACATATGTTCCTCGCTCCACTCAGGACTTTTATGGCCCTCCTGTTTGCCGTTGAGCTCCTTTTCATCATTTTCTTCCTCGCGTATATCTTCCTGAGACATATGTTCTTCGCTCCCATCAGGACTTTCATTGCCCTCTTGTTTGCCATTGGGCTCTTTTCCGTCATTTTCTCCCTGACGCATGTTTTCCTCGCTCGTTTCTTCCTCGCTCTTCTCGGGGCTTTTTCCATCCTCTTGGTCTTCAGGTAAGTATCGGTTGAGCCATTTCATTTTTGTTTTTTGTCTGATAGTATAAAAAGGCAATCATCAGGTAAAAGTATGGTGGGCACCTGGAGTCCGGAGGTCCGCCAAGCCATTGCTTGCCTGCAAACGGCTCGTCGTCCACTTTCTCTTGAGTAGGATCTGGCATCCGTTTCTTACTAGGGGCAAAATAAGGAGATGGAGGCAGGGTCTCCATCTCCATTTTGGAGACTGAGATACTTAGATGCTCCATGGTCTCATCGGTAATTGAAGCACCTTCCATCTTCCGTAGAGCTGCGTGTATGTTTTTCATATGATCATAGCTCTGACTAAAGCGTTCAAGTAGTACTTCAGGAATGGAGGGTTCGTCCACCTTGAATAATATACGTTGGAATAAAGTGTATATGTCGGTTAAGGAGGTTGGGATAAGATCGAGGGGAGGAAAATGAAAAATTTATCGTTCTGAGGGAGTAGCCAACGTACTTGCCAAAGTGACGTAGGGTTTTACCATATCGAGGGACGGCCAAAGGAAAATCCAAGGCCATGAAATGGGTTTTGTCCGTTTTCGAAAATGGACAAAGTCACCTCGCAGTTTACCTACATTCTTTTACAACATTTTGCACTTTGTTAATAAATTCGCTGCCTAACATATCATTAGTCTACAAATTCTTAATTAAGGCAAGTCGAAGAGATTCTAAAATCTCTGACGGAAGGTTAGAAGAAGAGGTGGGAAATGCGATAGTATTAGAGGCTTGAGACTAGGGAAATTGTCAGATTTCTTATTCTCTATCTTAGCTTCTGTAGCTTAACTTTCTCAACTCTTCCATCAACCTCACATTGCACTATGCACTTCGACGTCCACGTAAACCTCATCTGCACATTCGACCATCGTGATCCATCTGTATTTTTGATTAGTATTCAATTATTAGATACCGCGACATTCTGGCTCACCGATTCTTCATAAGGCTTTCGTCCTGGCAATGCGCAATCCAGAACATCATCTCCCAGCCCATCTGACGTAGGAACGAATTATAGCCACCCTTAGACCGGGGATAATCGGGGTTGACTTCCACAATAGCATGAATGTCCAGAGAGTTCTGAGGGTCGAGAGAAAATGGACCCTTTTCTTTCCGCTCTTTCGACTTTGTGCCTCTCCATTCTCTGATTCAGTCTGCTTCTTTGCAGATATATCAGAACACTCAACAACCTCATCCATGACACCTAGCTCGGATGATGGTTCCCAGGAAAACCGACTTTCCCGCTGCCAAAATGATATGCAGGGCTTGCACGGGACACCAAGTCAGCTTCTGTGACTCACGAGGGAAATCCAGAAATAAGATAGCCAAAAGTTGCATGAGGGGGTATTGGTAATTTCCTCGCCCGTTGTTATGTAAGATCGCTCCTGTGGCCTGGTCATGGCATCTTTGTGGACTTCGTAAAGTTGCGTTGAGGGTGTCACTAGACATCATCGTTTCATCTGTCCCTTCTTTCTGATGACCGGTGATAAGGGTGTAAGGGTGCTAGCAGTGGTTGTGGTTCTAACCATTTCTGCGAGATCTTAGCATTTTCGAAAAACTCTTGGGGGTGTGCATCCTTGATCTTGCGCTGCTGAACGATCCTCAGCTGGAGGTACTCGCCAGTGCAGCGCCATCCATTCTCATCAAGGGAATCGCCATATCGCTTTATATGGCTGTAATAGCTCTTATAGAACCAAAAGTTGAGGGTTGGATATTTCCGCAACTATATAGAGACGGTATCGTAGATGTAAGGCTCGGGGAGTTGAATACATATGTAGTGGTATAGCCGTAGAATAGTAAACCCAATAAATATGGCCCTACTATTAATCCCTCAGCTGAAGGTGAAACAACCAGGATCGTTGAGGGGACTCTCTTTAATATAATAAAGCAATTCCATTCAAATTCAGATTCAATGTACATTCATTTCAGATTTTATTTAGATTTTATTTAGATTTTATTTAGATTTTATTTAGATTTTATTTAGATTTTATTTAGATTTTATTTAGATTTTATTTAGATTTTATTTAGATTTTATTTAGATTTTATTTAGATTTTGTTTAGATTCACTTTAGATTCAATTCAGATTCAATTCAGATTCAATTCAGATTCAATTCAGATTCAATTCAGATTCAATTCACTTTAGAAGTCGCTATACCCATATAGTGAATCTTATATTATACGTATTATGATAGAAGGCTTCTTCAAGGGGAGTAAGATCCGATTGTTATATGATAATACTCCGAGACCTAGGCATACTACTAAAGAGACTCTTGATTTCTTCGAGGAGCTTAGGGTTATTGTGATAGAATGGCCTACCTTTTTACCTAATTTCAACCCTATCAAGGAGGCATAGAAATAGATAAAGATAGTATAGAGGGTAGACCTCAGCATAGCCCACAACGCCTATAGCCCAACCCAACCCAACCCTATGACAAGGGCCCATTATGAACCAAACAATACAAACATGCCAGTTTATTGTAGCTTCATAATTATGCATTTTTCGCTAGGTCTTTTAGGTTTCAAATTACCACCTAAGCTATACATGATTCAGGCGGCTGAATTCTCACAATTCTCACCAATTTTAACCTCAATTTTCATAAAGCTTTACTTTTTTGTAAGAGGTACTTGTTTTTATAGAGGTTTATATAGTAAATAGAGGTACTATAAGTATTACTCTAGAGAAAGCGATAATTCTATCAATCCACTGGGGGAAGCTGCTAAAAGCATAGACCACAGGATGGGTTATACAGATATTTTTGTTCGTTGGACCTGTAGAGATATGTATCATTTTATCTCATCTACATATTTAGCAAGGCTGGGAAGATCTCCTCCAATTAATCTAGATCATCCCAAGGCTTCAATTATGGATTGTGTCCTTTCATAAACTATAACATGCAAGTATAGCCGCCAGGAAATTGAGTCATGATGGCCCCAAAAAGCTGCTGTACATGTCTTTAATATATTTTGATTAGACATTCTTCCTGCCATTTAAATCACAAACTAACTTGAACATGACAAAAGAACCCATTCTAATTGCCCTCTAACGCCAGATACGCCAGTCGACCAACGTGACGAGATGTGGTTCTGCCTTAACCATCCACGCCACAGCCAATGTAGTTATGCGAGTACGTAAAGAATCACAGGTATTCCTTCTTTTTGCTGGTTCTCGTGTATTGGGTAAGAGCCCATTCGATGTCGCCGGTCGAGCCCTTCTCCAATGTACCTCCGCGGATCTCGAAAAGTCGCATCGTCATGCGAGGTCCAACTTCAGCCAGCTCCACATCCCGGTACCCAGTCTTGACGAAAACATGGTGGCGCACTTCGATGTTGTCATCCTTGTTCACAAAGCTCACAACACGGTTGCCGACCTTTCCGGTCTCGCGCGGGGGGAAAAGGTGCTTCAGAATCTGAACAACGCGGGCACCCAACTTCGTCTTGAATCCCTCGAAGACCAAGTGGGGGTAGCTTTCCGATACGGTACCGCGGGCGGCATTCGGAATATCTTGACGAAGGACAACATTGTGAAGAGAGAAGCTGGCGGTCGGGCCATGGGGAAGGTGTGAAATGGTGAGTGCGGTTGGGGTACCACGGTGCTCGTGGAGGAGAATCATGTCGGTCAGAGCCGCGGAGGTTGCGCTGGAGACGAGATCTCCAAGAACGAGAGTTCCACGGTTGAGGCGAATGGAGGTGGGAAGGAGAAGGCGGATTTCTTTCGCAAATGCGCCGAGGCGAGCGGAGGGTGAGCGAGAGGTGGTAACCAGAGGACGGGGGTCAATAATGCCGGAGGTTAAAACGTATTCATCATCGATGTCCATCTCAGCGTCTTCCTTGTCTTTTGTTTCGTCATATTTGAAATCTTCCCGAAGCGTTTTATCATTTGCGATTGTAGGATCTAGAGGCTTTCCAGAAGCCAATGAAGCCTTGAGTTGCGATCTTTTTTCCGCAATGGAAGCATCACGGAGGAGCAAAGCTCTCCGATAGAGATAATCGCGACGCTCGCGGGTTTGGCGACGCTACCGATCATTAGTAAAATGTTAAATGTGTCAAATTTATCCTTCACTTACCAGCATTTTTGAGATTGAAGTAGAAGTGGCTTGAGTAAAGAATGAGCGGGCAACTTTTTTTTTCTCTTAACTCCGGGGCTGCGTTTTTGGTTCGTCTACGTAGCCGTAGTGGGATCGCACCGATAAAGAATCTGGGCAGTTGCGGAGAACGCTTTTTGCTCATCCTTCGAGACAAACTCATCGACTCTCTTTTGTCAGTCCTCTGACACAGAGAGCTGGACTGGTTGTATGTGCTAATCTGTTCTTGTCAAGAACGTACCGCTAATCCCACATCTCGATATAGATCTCCATTCGTTTGCCCCTCAGGCACATCCTGGAGATTTCAACCTCAAACACCCCCATAGGACCACCGGATTTCTCTTTACGCTCTTTAAATTGTTTATGACTGCGAGGTTCATTTCTAATTTCAACTGCTTTTTGCTTTGCTTTTTGCTTTGAATTTTGATCAGCTCCAGTCATCCCTATCAACGTTCCATATCGGTACCCATAATGAGCTACCAACCGGAAGACCCCTCGGCGGGAGTTGAAATTAATGAGATTGCACTCGGCCGCGCGCGTCCACGCCGACATGATGACGAAGATGAAGGCTCTGATACCTTTGAAGATGACGACATGGAAAGCATAGTTGGGGCACCCACAAACGGACACCAGAAGTCCCAAGGGAATGGAGAGGAGGAAATAGAGCTCCCTGCTCATGCATGCGCGTCAGTTTTAATATCTTCTTTGTGGATGGACATTTACTGATTATATTATAGGTACTGTGGCATTCACAACCCGAGCAGCGTCGTCAAATGTCTCTCGTGCAACAAATGGTTCTGCAGTGCACGTGGCAATACCTCTTCCTCTCATATAGTCAATCACCTTGTCCGCGCTCGTCACAAGGAAGTTCAGCTCCACCCAGGCTCTTCTTTGGGTGATACTATTCTGGAATGCTACAACTGTGGCACCAAGAATGTCTTTTTGCTTGGCTTCATCCCCGCAAAATCCGATACCGTTGTTGTCTTGCTTTGTCGGCAGCCATGTGCCTCTATGCCTTCCTCCAAGGACATGAATTGGGACACCTCACGCTGGCAGCCTCTCATTGAGGATCGTTCTTTCCTCCCCTGGCTCGTGGGAGCACCTACTGACCAAGAACAACTCCGAGCCCGCCACCTCAGTCCTCAACTAATTGCGAAATTGGAGGAGATGTGGAAAGACAACTCTCAGGCAACCCTGGAAGACCTAGAGAAGGCCACAGCAGTGGATGATGAGCCTGCGCCAGTTCTGCTTCGCTATGATGATGCTTTCCAATATCAGAACATTTTCGGTCCACTTGTCAAGATCGAGGCCGATTACGACCGCAAGTTGAAGGAATCCCAATCCCAAGATGGACTCATCGTGCGCTGGGATCTCGGTCTCAACAACAAGCACCTCGCAAGCTTTGTTCTGCCCAAGCTTGAACTGGGAGATGTCAAATTGGCTGTGGGTGACGAGATGCGCATCAAGTACAATGGTGAATTACGCCCCAAATGGGAGGGTGTGGGCTATGTCATCAAAATCCCGAACAATCAATCTGACGAGGTCACTATCGAGCTACGCGCCAAGGGCGACCACAAGTCCGTTCCCACTGAATGCACACACAATTTTATGGCCGACTATGTTTGGAAATCGACTTCCTTCGACCGCATGCAATGTGCCATGAAGACATTTGCAGTGGATGAGCAGAGTGTCTCAGGCTACATCTTCCATCGCCTCCTTGGTCATGAGGTTGCTGCAGCTCCCATGAAGACCCAGATTCCGAAAAAATTCAGTGTTCCGGGTCTGCCAGATCTGAATGGCAGTCAAATCAACGCAGTTAAAAGTGTGCTCCAGCGACCTCTCAGTTTGATTCAAGGTCCTCCCGGAACTGGTAAGACCGTTACCTCGGCCACCATCATCTACCATCTTGCCAAGATCAATGGAGGCCAGGTTCTTGTCTGCGCTCCTTCCAACGTTGCCGTTGACCAGCTCTGCGAACGTATCCATCGAACGGGTCTCAAGACCGTGCGAGTTACTGCTAAATCTCGCGAGGACGTGGAATCTGCTGTCGGTTTCCTTTCGCTCCACGAGCAGGTTCGTATGAACGATAGCAACATTGAGTTAGTGAAACTCAACCAGCTCAAAGCCGAACTTGGGGAATTGTCCAGCCAAGATGAAAAGCGCCTGAAGCAACTTACTCGCTCTGCTGAACGTGAAATCTTGACCAACGCGGATGTGATCTGCTGTACTTGTGTTGGTGCAGGTGATCCTCGTCTTTCAAAGGGCAAGTTCCGCACTGTCCTAATTGACGAATCGACCCAATCTGCTGAGCCCGAGTGTATGATCCCCCTGGTTCTGGGCTGCAAGCAAGTTGTGCTGGTTGGTGATCACCAGCAACTTGGCCCCGTGATCATGAACAAGAAGGCCGCCAAGGCCGGTTTGAACCAGTCTCTGTTCGAGCGTCTCGTCATCTTGGGCTGCTCTCCTATTCGCTTGAATGTCCAGTATCGTATGCACCCATGCCTTTCGGAATTCCCGTCCAACATGTTCTACGAAGGCTCGCTGCAGAATGGTATCACCATTGCTGATCGTGTCCGTCGCGATGTTGACTTCCCTTGGCCCATCATTGATGATCCCATGATGTTTTGGTCAAACCTGGGCAATGAAGAAATCTCGGCGTCGGGCACCTCGTATCTTAACCGTACTGAAGCGACCAACGTCGAGAAGATCGTCACACGCTTCTTTAAGGCAGGTGTCCAGCCTAAAGATATCGGTATCATCACTCCATACGAGGGACAGCGGAGCTACATTGTCAGCTCTATGCAGGCAAATGGCACCTTCAAGAAGGAACATTACAAGGAGATCGAGGTTGCGTCAGTCGATGCATTCCAAGGCAGAGAGAAGGATTACATTATCCTTTCTTGTGTTCGTTCCAATGATCACCAAGGCATTGGTTTCCTGAGCGATCCTCGTCGTCTCAACGTGGCCCTTACTCGTGCTCGATTTGGTCTGGTCATCCTAGGAAACCCCAAGGTCTTGTCTAAGCACCCATTGTGGAACTGCCTTTTGCAGCACTTCAAAGAACGCCACTGTCTCGTTGAGGGGCCCTTGTCCAACCTTCAGGAGTCCTTGATTCAATTCAGCCGGCCCAAGCAAGCATACAGAGGCCCGCAGCGCTTCCAGATGTCTTTCAGCCAGACAGGTAATGCTCCCAACAATGCAGTGAATGGTCGCAACGGCGGTCACCGCAATGAGTATCATGACTCTGGGTCTGTGGTGGGCTATATCCCCGATGATGTGTCTTCTGTCCACGGCTCGGCACTTGGTGGTGTTGGCCTTCCGTCTGGCTATCCCCCTATGTTCCAGAATTTCGGCGAGTCCTGGCCTGCGATCTCTGGCGGTCGTCGAGCAAATGGTGGCCGACCCAAGGGAGCACCCAGTGTGGCTGGCGAGTCAGTCGCTGCTACTGAGTCTGATGTCACCTGCAGCGTCACTGACGGACGCAGCGTTGATCAGGGCGGTGTCAGCCTCACTGGTCTGAGCATTAATGATATGAGCAAGCAGCCCAGTCTCAGCCAGTCTGACCGATTGAAGCGCTACGTCGAGTCTGGCGGACGCGAGCCTTACAGGGCCGGCGTTCCGGACAATGGCAGCATCTTCGGAGGCAGCTCTGCTAGCATTCGCGTGACTCGCGGTGCGCCGGGCCAGAACCCCCACGACGACGATGATGCCCGTAGCGTCTCTACTGCTTTCGCTAGCCAAGTCGGTGGGAACTATGACTGAGTGACTTTTGTGTCCAACATTTCCCAGGGCAACCTCCAACAGGTTCGCCCGTCTTACCACTCGGCGAAGTATTGTCCGTGCATACTATCAGGGTTCTTTCCAACAGATACTGCCCGCCCCTTTCTTTTATGCAGACCAGGACTTTGAATCGGCAAACCCAAGACTTTTCGGATGCTTATCCCCGGGCCCTTTTGACCTACTACCAAAGCACCGTTCTGTCCGTCGAAGGATTGTTCCCTGGGTCTGATCCCTCGCCATTGTCACCGTGACATTCTTAGAAGGCGTGACTCTCGGGGATGGGGCGACAGACAATGATCCTCCAGTATCTTCCAGCTGAAGGAGTTACTGAAAACTCACCCGTCGATTGCCGATGCCCAGTTCCGATAGCCCCGGTAGCAATTACTGGGCAGTTCTGCGAATTTACCCCTACCCCTTGGCCATGTTTCATACTTGCTATCTTTATCTCTTAGGTAGTCAGGTATTAACTTTAAAAAAAACTAATGGCAATTTATGATCCCAGGCCCTTTTCAATATCCGTAAGCAGGCAATATGACAAGAAACTAGAAGAATAAGCCGGCCCTTTCAAGGTTGGAACCTTGGAATCTTCGCCGGCTTACGTTGCGAGTTAGGGCTACCTAGTTAGGTAAAGCCGTTGCTCTGCTTCAGCTTCTACACATCAGCCCCATCAGCCGCTCGTCCCTATCAGCCTTACTACGTACTAACTCGGGTGCATTATTCCAATCATGCTGCCCCTGGAAGCACCTCTGGTAGGTACTTAATTCCTTACGTATAATCTGCATAAGACCTATCGTTTCCAAGGTTTAGCACTTGTCTCATATTGCTCATATCTTTTGTGGCAAACAGTCTATAGTGGAATTAAGCACTATGGTGAGCATACTAGGTACATTGGAAATCAGTGACACGATTTCCCATATTTTCGAAGACGTAGGTAGTTGTACGGCAACGGTGCCAGATATCCAGCACCCATTGATAACACTGCTGCCATCCAGAACTTTGGATCTCCAAAAGCAACTATCCCACCAGTCAGATGATAGTCAACTGCATTCTCAGCTAATTCCATGGCCAACATCGAAACCATACTCATGCCCATAGCGGTACGAGCCGCCATCGGCCAGGAGAGCTGGTCAGCGCCCCGACGGAGCAAGATTGTCTCGAGGATAACCGAAGTTGTGATACCGGATGCCACTAGATGATTGTTCTTAGTACGCAAGGCCTGATTCGATTCGATTCACTCAAGGAGGCAACCCACTCGACAAGGCCATTATACTACTCATACCCATATCAGGGTAGTAAGTCTGCAGGATCCATAACGCGGAGAAATCACCAGCCGTACATCCCACCAAACAGCGGAGAGTGTTGATTCCTGCTCGATTCCAGGTGGATCTGCTGGTCCAGAATGGAAGACTAAGCGTCGGAAGGGGTTGGATTGGCGGCTTTTTGGTACAGTTTGAGGTTTGGGATAATTGGTTTTCGCGCTCGATGCTCTTCGTGCACTGGTTTTTCTCTGGATGGCAGGCTTGTGCACGAATGGTGCCACTAAAGGCGCGTCTTGAAACCCAGCAAATGCCGCGGCTCCGTTGAAGTAAAAATGGGTGGCGCATTTGACTCATATCCTAGCTTGTTGGAATCTTATGACAATTCACACGAGTGGTAACATAGACAACTTTGAATATGAAAATTCAAAAGGACAGGGTCAAGGGGTCAAGTAGCCAGGTTGGTAGGGATGGTGGAGCATGGTCCCCGGGCCTGTAGCACAAATGCCGCAATGAAATAGTTCCAGATATCCAATTTACGTGCTAAACCACATATCGAAAAATATACCGGTTAATAATATTCCTTGATATTTCCACGGCCTCTCAATATATAAGGGGAAATAACTCGTGAAGTGAGAATAATAATGTATGGGGTAAATACTTGAAGTGTCAAGTGCTGAGCACCGGATATATTTTTGGACTATGCGGTGGGGTACCCAGGGGCATAGTGGCCAGGGTTACTTTCGGATTTAAGGCAATAAATTACAGCCTTAATGCCTTAATGCGGCCTTAATTTGGCCTGATATTGGCCTTAATCCTGACCGCTTTTAGAGATAGGATACAGTGTATTGTAAAGCTTTCGGCACGGAAGAACTAGTACGCCGGATGACTAGAGGTTCTTAAGAGAGATGGTCTAGGCTTATTACCCCCTATCTCCTCCCTCTTCCCTCTTCTTCTTCTTCCCGCCTTTATCATCATCACGTGATTATTATCAATCATCGATCTACCTTATCTTACATATATTGTGGAGTGAATTGCCTCGTCTATTATCGAGTTTTATACGGTTATCCTAGATTTAGGTCTAAACTGCCTTAAAATCATGTTGTATGGCTTTATAACTATTCATGGGGCTAGATACTGTCTCTGTAATTGTAATTCAGGTATCTTGATTTTTCTGCCATACCAAATCAAGGCATTAAGGCACTACGGTATGCATTAAATCCGAAAGTGCCCCTGGGTAGTGGGGCTACCGGAGTACTAGGAATATACTGACAACACCACACCATGAACTCATCCTCAACATTTGACGTGAATATGGGTATCATGCAATTAATTATGTCTGTGTCTGTTGGTCCACGTCAATGGTGGCTTTATTTTACCAATTTGGGCATCCTCCTGTCGGGTGTATAGATCTACCTAGGTAGGGCCTATGTTATAGTGTAATCCCCTCACTTGGCCAAATAACATATATTCAAACTGGGTAGCAAATCGCTCAAAATAGATGAACATTTATTGAGGCTTAGTTTTGATCAAACGTTATTCTATTATGACAGAGGCAGTGCTAATTAATTAGATAGCCTTGGGAGTCTTCCATGTTTGTATGGAACATAGATGCAATGCTATTCTGTGGCCCTGATGCTATTCTATAGCATAGTCTTGCAGAATAATTATAGTCTTGCCATTCATTGTTTTCTGTGAAGATAGCATAAGAGGCTATATCATAGTGTGGCAAAATGTCCGACCTAGGTAGTATTGTATATTTGTAGGTTAGCTTGTAGGCTTCAAGATTCCCAATAGACTGATCTGAAAGCATATCCACGCAAACCACGCAAACCACGTTGTTTCTGTGCTACTTCGTTTAGAACCCCATAGAAAGTTCGATATCCTGATCATAAGAGCTTGCATAGCCTGGTTGAGGTTAGGGAAAGCCTCCTACTAGAAGAATTCTTACAGTATTCCTTTTAATAGAAGCAATTGATTGTGTGGACTTGAAGATCATTGGTATCTAAAGCTTGTCAAGCATAACGAGTTTGTTGCAGCCTAACATTGGGCCTGGCGAACGTACATTGCAGAAAGGCACTGCCCGGGTGCCCGATCTTTGATGCTTAAATAAGCATATTGATCATGCACGTGATTGAAGATCAGGCTGATCACTATCACGTGCACTCACCGCCACTGGATTTGTCAGGTCTGTGGCGACCCCCAAATCTTCCGGCAGTCCACGGGTGGAAGGCTGCCTGACAGGCAATCTTGCTTTGATACCTAAATCGGATCCGCTGAGATGGGACAACAGGATTGGTACCGTCATACTCACGGTGTCCCTCCAGTGTATGAGTCACTTGTGTTTCCTTGGCCCCTCATCTCGATATCCCGGACCAGGCATTAATAAACAGTATTGCCCATATTTTGACTTGCATGTATATAAGCTCTAGCCAGTTATGAACTCATCATATGACAATCCAGCTGTTTAGAAACCTCCACTAGAAAGCGAAGGAAACAAGATTCTGCAGGGACATTTCGAAAAAGAATAAGGACGGCTGCGCCACAGTGGCGCACCTGCACCTGCACCTGACGCAAGCGGTATAAATAGGCTGCGGATGCCTTGCTACCTGAAAATTTTGGCAACTCCTCATCCTCTCCCGACTCCATACCCATCGACATCTACTAGGCTTTCACCGCCAATTTATTTCAGATTTTTCATAAACAACTCTATTCTTGTTGTTTGCCTCTACTGAGCTGCTCAGAACTTTTAAATCTACCGTTGTTGTGCATTGACGACGCGTCTTTCCGGTATCTACTACATTCTATCACGATCCCCTCAGTAGTGTGGGGTATCAACTTCGCGATATGGGTGACGGGTCTGACTATCCTAGCCCACGAAGTGAAGGTCCCAACGGTGCTCTTGCTGCCTCCATCCTTGCCTCTACATCTGAATCCACACCCCCAATTGCCAGAATGAACGACCCTCAGCAGCCGATGAGTTACAACCTTGATGGGGCGCGCCCGCGCCTTTCTGTTCGACGCGCCCGCGATCCTCCTAAGAACTCTGAAGGTCAAATCTTTTGCGATCACCCTGAGTGTCAAGCTGCACCTCCTACCTTCCGCCGTCCATGCGAATGGAAGTAAGTACAATGTCCCTTCTGACGTATCTTTTAACGCGCCCAGTACTAACATGACCTTAGCAAACATATGGATAAACATGATCGTCCCTATAAGTGTTATGAACCAAATTGTGACAAGATCCAAGGTTTCACCTACTCTGGTGGTCTCCTTCGTCACCAGCGCGAAGTTCACAAGAAAAACACCGACACTAAGAAGGCCCTGATGTGCCCATACACTGATTGCAATCGCAGTACTGGCAACGGATTTACGCGCCAAGAAAATCTGCGCGAACATCTTCGCCGTCGCCACATGCACAGTGACGAAGCTCCCCCATGGTTGATATGTCTTGGGACCGCGCCACCGAACTTGATGGTGTCGAGGGTGTCCGTGCCCCCTCTCTCCCGATCACTGGAATGAAACGACGCCACGACACTCCTCCCGTTGGAGATCTCCGAGATATGCCTGAGACCGATGAGCACGGAATCGATTTGCACAACGAAGTCAAGAGACTCCGCCGCGAAGTCCAAGAGAAGGATCGTCGTCTAGAAGAGTTGGAGCGAATCGTCACCAACATCCAGCAGGCTATCCCTCAGCAGTCTCCTCCCGGACCCGAACTGCAGGATCTTTCGCAGCCCACTCCCCAGCCTACTGCGGCTCCCGTTTAATTTTGCTCCTATCGGCTTTGAAACGTCTACGGATTTGACCTATGCATCATGTGGGCGTTTGTCGAAGCAGCCAATACGCTTCAAAATTATGCGACTTTGCTTTTTCTCTTATTTTGTGATTTTTTGCGACTTTCTTTCTGTCTTGTTTGTGTAGCATTTGGGTTTGGTCTCCGCGTCTCCTCTCTGGGCAGATGTTGCTTTTCTTTGATTTCTGCAAGGATTCGAGGTTTCGAGGATCGACTTTCCCGGTCTTTACGGCGTTTGAGCTTGATGATTTCATATGGGCCAGGCGGTGTTGTCTCCAGAGGCGGTTGACACGTTGTCTCGCCTCATATACCCGAGTGTTTGGTTCGACGTATTCTTTGTGGTCGTCGCTTCTGCCACTCAACTCTACTTTTAGTTCGATTTATTCCTGGTTGCTAGCAGATTGTACGAATAATAACAGCTTGACAAAACAATCCTAACCTCACTCTGTAATCCACGTCAGCCTTAAAAGGTCACATGTTAGTATGTAGGTAAATACGATTGTTCCTCGTGGCATTGAATCCGATAACTATGCACATTGACATTCGAAGTATAGGGCAGCCAATGATATCCATGAACGTGGACAAGTATTTATTCCTGAGGCACCCAGGCTTCCACGCGATTGCGATATTTCTCAGGCAACCATTTCAGCCACACTCCTTTCAACTCGGGTCCCATCACCTAGATTCCGGCCAGGCTCTAGCGAGACCTTCGTGAGCAGGGCCGCCTGGAAACCATATGGCCCCGCTGGCGGTGTCCATATCTAGAAGGTCGGAGTTAGGAGGCAAGAACGCTGTTAACGGGCTCCCAACGGAGCCCGCGGCTCCCCATGGTGGCCTATGAGACATCAACCTCACTCATAGTACGCTCGGACGACGGATATGACTCCTTGGCCAACAGCACTAGGCTAGGTATGACTCACGATTACACGGATCGTGGGTTCGGGTCTTGACTCGACACGAGCGGTTCAACGCGATATCACATGATGGCCTTGATACGTTGTTTTTGTGTTGGCTAACTAGGCCATTCTTTCTACATGTCTTTATGTGACTTTCAATAGGAGTAGAATCTCATGGATGTAGGGCGTAGGTAGTGCTCTAGGTCGAAGTGTGGTTGTTCAGATTAGTACATTAGTAACAAGAGCGAAAGTACGTATATCATAGCACGCCGTGCATCCTTGTAGGTCTTTATTCCGTTTGTTGCCTACTACATTGGCTATACAGACAAGCCGGACACAAATGGATTGGTAATAAAGCCATCAAAAGATTGTCATATATGTTGATCGACATAGGGTTTTACTTCCCTGGCTATGAAACCTACACAGTTTGATACCATTATTTGCAGGTAATATACTAGATTTCCATATTGATAACTAAATCGACTTGCAAGTATGTATGTTACTTGAAATCCGAAAGGGAATGAGCGTTTCTTTCGTACTGGTGGCTAACGTGTCCTTTACCTCTCTCAATGAGAGATGTCTAACACAGCCCTGATAAATTCTTAGATCTGAAAGGCTTGCTGAGGGTCAAGAGATAGAAGATATCTTAAACCCCTTGATCGTTGGGTTTGTGTTCTAATTCAGTATTGCCCTACGGCCCCGGGTCAGATCACGCCGGGATGTTGGCAAGGAGATAATTCTTTCTGTCAACCCAACTGCGAAATAAATAATTTCAAGACTGAGGTATTGATCGCATTTGTAGATCTATATACTGGCAGGTATGCCTTTTGCCTGATTAAAATGTAGTATCTTGATCAACACTAGAGGCGATGTAACTATATATAGAGCCGACGTTATTATGTATGTGAGATGTTCTACAATCACTGTAGCAGATTCAGCCAGTAGAGTGCAGTCGGGATATTGAACGTTATAATCAACATATTGTGTTGCTTTGGTTCTGTGCAGGACTTTCTATGCGCTCGATGCTCTCTGATTTGGGACTGAAAGGGTCTCCGTAGTGATCATTTGTAGACCTCATTCAATATATCTCAATGGAAATGAGCTCCCATGATGCAGGAAGGCCGGACAAACCTTAAGAGGCTTTATTTCTCTAAATCTATGTATGAAATTCTCGAAAAAGTTCAATCAGTAAGCTCAACTGTTACCCTCAGGATGTTTTATAGACCTTGATAGTGGAGTCACTGATAACGATAAGAGAAAAAGTTCAAAATTCCACCCCACGTTCGATTTAGAGACAGTCACATTTCTTACAAAAGATAGACGAAACGAGTTTATTCTTATATATATATATATAATGCCTCACGCCCCACGCCAGGGAAACCGCAAGAGGTCCCCAGGTCCGAAAGCGAAAGCGCAAAAACCAAAGCAAGCGCCACCAGCAAACAAGCAGCACGCCAATCGCAAAGCTGAAGTCGAAAAAGCCAAAGCCGAAGCCGAACAACTCGAGGAAGAAGGGTCTTCTGGACTTAAGCTTGTCAGCACAATTCCTCTCACTCTCCAACAACTACTTTTGGACGTATTCAAGACAGCACTGCTCGGCAACCCAGTCGCAGAGTCGGAATCTGCAAGCCAGGATGCCGACCCCGCTGAATCACAAACAGACGAAAATAAAGATGAACCATTAGATATTAAATCTCTCATTCAAACAATCAAGGGGCTTCTATACCAGCGCGATTTCGACTCGGCTTTCACTGAGGCAGGCGAGGATCTGTTGCGCGCTTATGCCTTGCGCTGGAGTGCGTCTCGGGCATTGGGATATGCGGGCCTGTTGAAGGGAGTTTTGACTTGGATGAAAGAGGAAGAGGAAAACACGCGAGGCCGTGCTAGAACCAAGAATCCCTGTACCCGTGTTGTGTCAATTGGTGGCGGAGCCGGTGCAGAGATCGCTGCCCTTGCAGCTGCGTGGAGAGATATAGGCCCCCAAACCCAGTCGCTAGAGGAATGTGTTGCCAACGTCTCTCTTGAAGACTCAGAAAATCAAGATGACAAGAAGACAGAAGTTGAAGGCCAAGGTGTCAGCGCACCTAGTCTCTCTGTCATGGCTGTCGATATCGGAAACTGGTCGGACGTTGTTGATAGGCTTTCACGAACCATCACATCGGCCGATGTGCCATTCTCGCAGACGACAAAATATCGTCCGCCGTTGCTGTCGGAGAAAGTGGCCAGTGAAACATTCTCGGTGGCTTTCCGTCGCGCAGATGTCCTGACTCTTCCCGAGGAGGGCCTGAAGGAAATTCTCCTCGGCCCTTCCTCCGCCTCTCCTTTCACGTCCATCCTCATTCCTATCATGTTCACTTTGAATGAGCTCTTCTCTACCTCCATGCCAAAGACTACCGGTTTCATGCTCAAAATGACGGAAATTCTCCCTGCAGGTGCGGTGCTTCTGGTTGTTGATAGTCCTGGCAGCTATTCGACTTTGAAGTTAGGAAAAGGACCGGACGGTGAACCACAGGAGAGGAACTATCCCATGAAGTTCTTGCTTGACCACACGCTTCTGTCTGTGGCGAAGGGCAAGTGGGAGTGCGTATACACCCAGGATTCGAGATGGTGGAGACGGGACGCAGTGCGTCTGCGGTACGAAGTTGGTGAAGGCGCAGGCTTGGAGGATATGCGCTTCCAGATGCATGTGTATCGGCGTTTGTAGGTCTGATTTGTTCTATTTCACGATATATAAAAACAATTTAATGAGCAATACGATTGAGTCTTCCAAAAAAATACAAAATAAGAAAGCAAGTTGTGGTGTGGAGTGAGGTATGGTATTGCTACAGATAAGGTGGTTTAGTTCAGACCACTCCAAATTCACGCTACAAGGCGAGAATCGCCCCAAGTCGCGGCAAAAATTGCGATTAATTGGTACATTCAATGAGTTGTGAAAATGGGGCTCATAAATCCCCGAGATAGCCTTATAACCCCCTAACTCCGCAGACCCAGCAGGAGGCTAGTGCTCTTGCCTCCATCCTTTCCCCTCTCCACCAGGCAGATAAGTGACGTTGGGGTTCGAGGAGAGAGTGGAGGCGATCTCCTTGCTGGCCTCGATACGACGGATCTCAATTAGTCCACTGCCAGCCTTGGCAACGGCCTTACTGATAATATCGGCACTTTGGGCTTCACCCTCAGCGCGAATGACGTTGGCCTGGCGCTCCTGCTCGGCACGCTCGACGATGAATCGGGCCCGCTCGGCATCCTGTTGGGCGATCTGCTTCTGCTCGACGGCCCGTGTGAACTCCTTTCCGAAGGTCATGTGTGTAATGGAGACGTCCTCGAGGGCGATGTTGAATTGTCCAGCACGCTTCATCAAGTCAGTGCGGATACGGTTGGAGACAGCTTCACGTTGTGTGATCAGCTCGGCGGCGTCGAACTGGGCCACGATGGCCTTGAGGACTTCGTTTCCGATGGATGGGAGGACACGCTCATCGTAATCGGTACCGTATGACTGGATAACACTGGGTCAGCCTTTTGTTTTAAGGTAGGGACTTAGGGATCATATGAGATACATACCTGGTAGATCTGCGGCAGCTTCGGCACCTCCGGGCGGTGCAACACACGCAGCGTCAAGCTAACCATCTGCAAATCCTTACTTCCTGTCGTGGTGGAGATGTTGCGAGGCTTCGTGCGGACATCGTAGACAATTGCGCGCTGCAACCAGGGGACCAAGAAATGTGTTCCTTCGTTGACGACCTTCTCTTGCACACCAGACACTCGATCGAAGATGACAGCTCGTGTGCCGCCCTTGACATCGTAAAGGGAATTTTGAACTAGCATACCCCCAATAGCCACGGGGAAAGCCAGTCGATAAACATTTTGGAGGACTTGAGCCATGGTTGGAGGTGGAAGGCGAGGTGATGAGGACGGATGATGGAGATGATGTCTGCTTTTCCCGTTGCTCACTCTGAGTGTTCCCAATCGGGTTTAGTGCACCATCTTTCCAAACCTCCAACTTCGCCCGACCTTCGTCTTTTCCTCACTCATTTCGCTACCTCTACACCTTTTCCACCCCACTCCTTTCTTTTTACCCGAAATCATTCACAATGGGTGGCTCTGTGGACCCTAAGAACGGACAGTAAGTCGTTTCGCGTTTGCTCCTGGTGTCGTGGGTTGAGTACCGGCCTCCCGGATGCGTTACCCGCCCGGCTACACAATGCAATTCCTAAAAGATGCCAATTGAGTCGGCTATAATAGACTCAATGACTTCTGCATCTTTTATTCAGTTAACTGACGAATTTTACTTTCTATAGCTTCATCGGCAACTGGGGCGAGTTCGGTACGTTTGACAATAACCCTTGAACCTTTTATACGGACCGGATGCATGCGCAGGAGATCGACCCCTTACGCGATATGAAAGATCGCGACAACGAATACAGAAAGATCCAGAGGAACAAAGCAGGAGGACGTCATTCGAACGGATCGCTAATATCCACCTTTCAGGTTGCCCGACCCCCCAGCGCATCGCCACCTACTCGCTGTCCCCTAACCGTCAGCGTCCTATGGCCGGTGCCGGCCACGCTGCCATCTTCAACGTCTTCCGTCGTTTCCGTCACCAGGTTCTCTACGTTGTTCCCCCTTCGTTGCCGCATACGCTATGATGAACTGGGCCATTGAGCGGTAAGAATGACCGCAGGAGCCGCTTCGATCGGTGCGCTAATTTCATACTTTAGCAACGAGTACCTAAACTCCAAGCCCGGCCGTCTTCTCGAGGGTGGCAATGAAGAGTAAATTATCTCAATTGTTTGTTGGAGTGAGGTTGGATTGGTATAACAGAGCCAGAGCATGATACACCCAAGACTCTGCAGTTTGGGGGAGCTGTATGTTTGTACAGTAACTAGAAAGCAATCGACCGTTTGGTTTTTTCCCTTTTATATGCCCCTCCTTTTGCGCATTGGAGGTTTTTTTATTTTCTTATATTCAAAGTCAAGCTTGAGTAAGCGTCTTTCTAGGGCTCTCTATTGGCCCCTTGAGGTGTCTATGCCCAATTATAGACATGGGGCATATATACCAGGCCGAATTGCAATCAATCGAGGGCTAATTGAGGTACTTAATACCTATTATTCTGTATTCGAATTGGTCTTAGTCCTGTTTTCTCCAAGATGTTTGCTGGTGTGTTGGTGGCAGCACAGCGGTTCCCCACTTGAGCCGAGAAGAAACAAAAAAATCGCCCAAAACAGCCAAACTTCCGCCGAACCCTTTTTCTTCGAATGCTTCGTCTTTCCAGACTCTCTTCTGCTTTCTACTCACCATTTATTTTCTCTCGTCGTTTCTCTTCATTTCCTATCAAAATGAGCGAGCTCACCCACCCCACCATCCAGGGTATGTCTATAACAACAACCCCTCCAATACCCCGCCTTCCAGTCAATTTGTTACGATAGCATGCTGATGTCCATCTATAGATGGCTGGTTCTCCGAGAAGTCCGGCATGTGGCCTGGTCAGGCCATGAGCCTTAAGGTCAACCAGATCATTCACCACGAGAAGTCCAAGTACCAGGACGTCCTCGTCTTCGAGAGCAGTGACTACGGTACCGTTCTCGTCCTGGACAACGTTATCCAGTGCACCGAGCGCGATGAGTTCTCCTACCAGGAGATGATCACCCACCTCGCCATGAACTCCCACCCCAACCCCGAGAAGGTTCTCGTCATTGGTGGCGGTGACGGCGGTGTCCTCCGTGAGGTCGTCAAGCACGCTTCCGTCAAGGAGGCTACTCTGTGCGACATCGACGAGGCTGTTATCCGTGTTTCCAAGAAGTACCTGCCCGGCATGGCCATTGGCTTCCAGCACCCCAACGCCCACACCCACGTTGGTGACGGCTTCGAGTTCCTCAAGAACCGCCAGAACGAGTTCGATGTTATCATCACTGACAGCTCCGACCCCGAGGGCCCCGCCGAGTCCCTCTTCCAGAAGCCTTACTTCGAGTTGTTGAAGTCTGCCCTTCGCGAGGGAGGTGTCATCACTACCCAAGGTTGTTCGTCACTTTCTTTTTTCCTGCCCAATCCCTTTTCTAGAACGAGCACTCCTTGATTGCTCGTCCCCTTCATTCTATCATCTGGCTATTAAAAGAAAAGATCACACGCTAATATTTTTTCGCACCACCCCGCAACCAACCCGCTTTACGGGCTCGGTTTTGCGGAGCTGTGCTTTATATCTAACAGCCGAGAACCAATGGCTCCACCTTGACATGATCGCCGAACTTAAGAAGTCCTGCAAGGAGGTCTTCCCCGTCGCCGAGTACGCCTACACCACCATCCCCACCTACCCCTCCGGCCAGATTGGCTTCATGGTCTGCTCCAAGGACGCTACCCGCAATGTCCGTGAGCCCCTCCGCAGCTGGACCGCTGAGGAGGAGCAGAAGCTCTGCCGCTACTACAACCAGGACATCCACCGCGCCAGCTTTGTTCTGCCCAACTTCGCTCGCCAGAAGCTCGGCAACTAAGTGCCGTGATCTTTGAAAAAGCTTTTGTGGTCTTTACATCCTCATGACGATATTGAAATGAAATCATGGATTTTCGTACATCTGATCCTGTAGATTGGTCCACTTTGTCTCGTGTATAGTCGTGTATTATGCTGCCTAGTTGCTTAGTTGTAGATCTGATTGTGGAGGTGAGACTTGATTCCAAGGAACCTGAAAGTTGGAGACTGTCAGACAAATCACCTTGGACCACAGCCTTGTTGATTTACGTCTCCATTCCAATGACATGTTCAGCAAATGTCTTGCCATTTTCTCCATTTCTTCTTGCAACAAGGCACAAGACAGCGGCTATTGGATCCAAGTCTTCGATATTCGGTTCCCCCGGATCAACAAATAGTACGACGGCAATGATCTGCGGTGACGATCAAACGTACGTCTTGCGAGATGCATCTTCATTGGACGGCGAGATCGATAACCTTGGAATCCCCGCGGAAACGACAGCCGGTTTCATTAAAGGTGAGATTGATACGGCTGACACCCATTTATGTGGCATGTTTACATCATGGCTTCTGTTATTTTTCCTACCGATATTCAACAATAGTCGCCACGGTCCTAGAAATATATTGTCCTGCATCTCACTTGCTGTCAATTGACCTGCAATTCATCAATTATCATTCCTCTCTTCATAGGGAACCCGGTTCTCGGACACGAACCTCAATGTTACAGGTGACACAAGTCACACAAGTGACACAAGTGACGATCTCGTCAGCATTGCACAGGGTGGACCAAACCTAATGTTACTCGGACTGTGTCGATGCCAATTTCGAATGCAACAGCTGCTGTATCTGGTTCTCGACTCTATGTTAGTGCATTCACGCCTTCCAAGCCGGAACCCCCTTCAATTGGCGTTGGCCCGCCCCAACCCAACCAGTCTCTTCGTGGGTAGTTATCGTCAGTGAAGAATTCATTACTACGACGGATTTGACACCGGACATTCTGTAATTGAGTTCTGCTGCTGACGTGGACGGGGGGTTTCGGCTTGGCCAGGATACTCCCAACAATACGGGCATCTGGGATAGGGACACTGACAAACAGTGTCTCCACCCGCTCTACTGAAGAGGAGCAAATTCATATCCATCATCCCTGGAAGTACTGTGCATGATATTCTTGATAAGCTGCATCGAGATAATTTCAAGACAACATCGGTCGCTCGACCTGTCCGCGCTTCCTAAGCCGAGTGCTGCTATGTCTTATCCGACGTTCCCTAACAAGGGTAATGATATTGTTGATTGGTTAACGTAGTATACTAGCACGACGAGCTGTGTTCAATATGATGCCGGTGCATGGGTTATTGTCGATAGTAAGGGTTACGCTTGGGCTTGTATATTACAGGTCATCGGGCTGCTGAGATACTGTTTTGCATTGGCTGAATATTGAATGCGGGAATATGGTTGAAGGATATAATCATTGAGCCTTTTTCTTAACGCATTCTGGAGCATCAAGATAGATAGATGGATCTATAGATACCATGTATGCTTTTTTGAGGCATATCTGGATTGAAAAATCAGCAGAACTTCAAGACACAGACAAAAGGCGTAAGCTCGCCTCAGGCAGTTTACCGACGTCAGGGTCCCTAAAGGACCTCAACGTCAATGTGCGACCTTGTTCATGAGGTCTATGATGCCAACTACCGTTTGGATAACGGCTGGTAGTTTCGGGTTTATTGCCTCGACTTGGAAGGAAATTGGTCGTCGCGAACGCTATCTTCAACCATCTTAAGCTGGCAGGAAATCTCTAATCTGTTGAGTCATATGATACCACAAGAACAGGCAGTGGCGTATTCCATCCCAAGCTATGTTCCTCCTAGGACATAGACGTACCCATAGACACCGACTAGCGCCTTTGAATCGATATCAGCCCCTTTCTCTAAAAGTAGAAATGCAATCTTTATGTGACCATGGCTCGTAGCCGGATGAATTGGAACTTCTCTGTAGAACCGTCCCCTTGCTCCGGCAGCAGCTGGCAGTGGTCTCTTTCTCAGGATATATAGTGCTTAGATTTAAGTATACAAAGAGGAAATTTAATATATTCAAGCTGTACAAAAGGAGTCTATCATATTGTCTCGTAGTCGAATTTTCAGTTATTTGTCCGCCGCAATACCGATCGGTTAAGATGCTCAGGGGAGACTGATCTGATCCCCGACAGATGGAGACTTAGATTGAAATCTCCTAGGAGACTCTTCAGCACATGGCTCACTCCGTGCTCACCTTGAATCGCCAACCCATAAATATATGGACGGCCAATCAGGACCATTTTTGCACCAAGAGCTAATGCCTTGACGATATCAGCACCGCAGCGAACACCCGAGTCGAAGATAATCTCCAAATCATCTCCCACGGCATCCACAATCTCCGGCAAGACATCCAAAGACGCAATACCTCCATCCTGTTGTCGTCCGCCATGATTGGAGACCACAATCCCTTGGACACCATATTCCACAGCTCTCTTCGCATCAGCCACCGTTTGGATTCCCTTCAGAACGATTGGACCGTCCCAATGTTCTTGGAGGAATTTGAGATCTTCCCAGCCGTGACTCACACCGGGGAATACGGTATGTGCCCACTCTGTAGCCGCAGTTTGGACATCCTCCTCAATGGGTCTCCCGTGCTTTTCTTGGAACTTGCGACGGTATACAGGGTCAGAGAATCCCAATGCCACACCGATGTCATCTGCACGAATGAAAGGGTTGTATGCATTGTCCAGATCGCTGGGACGCCATCCAAGGATGTACGTATCTAAGGTGACTACCAAAACCTTGTAACCTGCTGCCTTCGCCCTTGACAGCAGGCTCACCGTGATATCATTGTTCTCATTCAGAGGCCAGTAGAGTTGATACCAGCGAGACCCACTCCCATTGGCCTTGGCGACATCCTCGATGCTGGTGGAGGATGCAGTGCTGAGGATATAGGTGACATGTTCTTTTTCAGCAACCTTCGCCGCCGCCGTCTCCCCATCGGGGTGGAAAATCCGCTGTACGCCCACCGGTGCCATGGCGATCGGATAGTCAAATGTCTCGCCAAAAAGTGTCGTTTTGAGGTCTGGGAAGTCGCTCTTGACTAGGCGTGATGGCACGATCCCCCATTTTTTGAAGGCTTTCTTGTTGTTATCGTCTGTGTCGCGAGTTCCGGCGGATCCCCAAACATATCCGTATGAATCTGCCGAGAGTCGATCTTTGGCTAGGGTTTCCCATTCGAGGCAGTTGAAGGTTATCGAGGGCTTCTGGCCCTTGAGACCGGCTTGATACACATCATTTTCGTATGTAAATGGAGCCAAAGGGTGGGCAATTGACTTGCTATGCAGTTTGCTGTCTTGTTGAGATGACATCATGGAAGTAAATAACAGAAATCAGAACCGATATGATGCAAATCAGGGAAATGAAAGCTGGCTTTATACTTGCAGGACTGATATAATGGGGCTCTTCAAAGTTGATTATAATTGGTGGGTTTAGAAGGGGATGGGGATATCAAACAAGTTCGGTGCTGAATGTAGAATGCATGTTCGGCCGAGATTCATCACGACATCATGTCATTGAATGCCCTTTTGTTAACAAGTTTGGATCCGCCATGATCCGGGGAGCAACAAATATACTCCGGATTCTTTTAATCATCTTTGATGCCATCTTTTAAGGTATTACCGGTTCATCATGTCCTATGCAGTATGACGTGTGGGTGGGTTATAATAACCAGGTGGCGCCCGTCTTCATCGTGGCCAAAAAAATAAGCTGGATACTATAAGAATACACAGGAAGCCCTTAGATTCCAGAATTAACATATTTATACACTGAGCACTCACTAAGCGCCACGCTGAGTGGATAAGTCAACACACCTGAACAAAATACAACATGCTAACCCTATGCACATTCAGTCTAGTCCTAAGTTGAATAATAAGGAACTATTCAATTTGGGCTAAGTAAATTTCACCATCATAATAATTACCATACATATTTTCGAGGTTGCCAAACTATCATCCGTTATGAGTAAAACCATAGCGATTACCACTAAACAGCAGTAGAAGCCTCATGTCTAGAAGCTCTACCTTTCTCGGACCACGGGAAATGAAAGACAGGAATAATGAAAAAGCTGTTGCTGTCATCCGCAATACCCGCCAGGGCACTATACCACGCCAAAAAGGCAGCAAGGAGAGCGAATAAACCGCCAGCCGTGAGGACTGACTGATTAGGCTTTCCCTGGGCATCGCGATGGAGGTGTCCAATCCCAAGCAACAGGAATGCCACATCTACACTTAGGAAAAGGGAGAAAAACACCGCAGTCGATTTGACAGTGCACGTAAGGAGCAGAAAGGTGAAGGCAAACCAGCCCTAGGAGTTGTTAGAGGTAACAACCAGGGGTTATTTACATTGGGAAATTAACTTACCATAAGGAATAACCCAAATGAGTCGTAGAACATGTCAGTTGACCCATTGTCAGCTTTCTGAAGCTCTGACATGATTTGGAATCCAGGAGTAAAGGTGATACCCAGGGCGATCCAAAAGCCGCCGTACGAAGACAGAGCGGTGGCACCAAATGTGTTCCCAGCTGCCATTTCCCTATCATAAAGACAGACAGATCAGATTTATGTTATCTCATAACGCATGTTCCATACGAATATACTTACCACATGCCGGCGAGAAGCTGAACCAGTCCGCCGTAGGCATAAGCAACACCAACAACCATATTAGGCTCCGTAATGTCCCGCGTACCCATGTTAATACATCCCAGTACAAAAGTGGCCAAGGCAAAACCCGAGAGACCCAGAGGTGCAGGATTCGCGAACTTTCGAAACTTGGGCGTCCGATAGAGACCCGGTTGTAACTCGCCTGCAAAGGCGGGCAATCGAGACTCCACAGTATTCACGTGTGCTAGTGGGCCATAGTTCTCGAGGTGGGTCGGTTGAAAGACCTCCGCTTCGATGTTGGTAGTGGCCTCGTGGCTAGATCCCTTCTCCTGGTAGGGGTTCCCGGAATTCGAAAGAACAGTCATAATTGCTACTTCTTGCTAAATGCAATTGAGCTGATATTCCCTCCAAACTGAGTCGATTTAATGAATCGTATAGATCGTGATATTGGCGATGTAAAGAGAGTGTAGGGTCTTCGATAACAAAAAGAAACTAACATCAACAATTGATGAGAGGGAATATCACAATATAAATAGTGCCCGTGGGGTTGGACTTTGTAGTTCCTCCCTGGGGAAATGATCTAAGCGTCAATGCGGGGTGAACCATTACCCCTTATGAACAGCACAAAACAGGGACACTGCGGTGAGCAGGAGAACCCATTCGGTATCCACTGTCGTGGCCCGTGGGGTATACAACATACACCGGGGTTTCGTAAAATCCGGGGACTGAATTAATTGTTTGCTTCTATGGCGAGTGGCCGAGAATGCCGCTCTCCACCTTTCCGATTGACACTGGTCTCGGCCGAGAACGACACCATTCTGTTCAAGTCTCCGGCCGAGAGCCGCGCTCTATCTCATAGAAAAAGTGGATGTAGCATCCGAGTGTGGAGATAAACGCGAAAATCATATATAAATTTGAGTTGCAATCAATTTTCTTCCATCATCATCGAGGAAAGGGCAACTGGAAAAGAGAAAAGAACTACAATACATGGATATGAAGCAGCCCGGACATGGAGATATTGTTGACCACAGATAAGCTTCGGAGGCTGATTTAACCTTGGAACCTTGGAACCATAATCCGATTATGTAATTGCCAAGAGTGGAGCCACCCGTAGACCAGTTCTTAGCTCCAGCGTAATCTCGCACTTGAAAAGATGTGTCCAAAATTCATCTATCATCCTGGCTTTTATTGGATAGCAGCAAGAGATCTGCGATGAAGGTATAACGGACCTGACAAGGATTGGCAACACCAATCACTCACAGGCTATATTATACAGGCCGTGTGAAACATAGATTCCTTGTAGCAGGGTCTGGATCCAAGGCCCTAGATAAAGAGGTCCTAGGCCCATGAATCGGGCAGAAACTATGACCACACACTACATAATAATAATTTACTCGGCCGAGAGTACGTCAACATAGATCTCTGTGATTATATTTACCAATATGCCGAATGCCATGCCATATTCAATTAACTGCGATGGCGGCCAGATCTAGTTAACCATTTTCCTGGACATGAATCGAAATTCTATCGAGGGAACTGGAGGGAAAAACGACAACAAACGCGCCGCGTTTACGAAATGTGGGATTGGAATTTGAAATTGACGCCATTGTATTAGGCTCAGCTGATTGAATCATGCTTCGTAAGTAGAATATATTGCCCATTTCTCGCAATACTGCTGGCCTAGGCACAACTGGACGTCGATACATTGTTAAAATACATCTTAGAAGCGATTCCCCCAAAACTGTTTATTATGACATTGGGTGTATCATTGGCATGTGTAGTGTTTGGTACATTGAACTCGCTTGTTGTTTCATGAATTGAGTGAATTTAGGCTTCTGGTCAGTTTCAATAGCTATAAAAGACTACATACCCTCTTGCAGAATATGTTTTCTTGACTTTTAACCGAATTGGTCGGATATTAAGTAGTTGAGCAATAGGTGTGGTTGATTTCCGTGGTGTCGGTAGCGGTGCTGAGTAATCCCTCTGGTCCGCCCGCCCGACGTCAGAGTGCCAAGATTGTTCCGAGGGAATGCATAGAACTTTGCGGAGAACCTCAGCAATTGCCGGGCATCTGTAGGTTGGATTGTTCCACACGCCGTAACGCTTTGATTGTCTGCCCATTTCGCTTTCATGGTGACTGGATTCAATCGAATGAATGGAAAGACGTGGATAAACTGTCAAACCAAGAGCGAACATGCAGCCTGTGGCGGGGCCCTCCAACCCGTCTAGCACCACCCAACCGCGAAGGTCGCCCTCAGCGACAGGAAATCCACAGATTACCAGGAAACGTGTGATATATAGCTGTCAAACGTGTCGTCGGCGCAAAGTCAAATGCGACAAGGTGATCTTTCTTAGCCCAGGAGAAAGTTACCTGAACTGAACATTTGTTTTTAGACACTTCCAGTGTGTGGAAACTGCGCGAAAAACAGTACCGAGTGCGCCTACGACACGGAGCCACATCAAGATGACGCGCGACCCAACCGCACCCGCCGGGCGAATAGAACCAAACGGCAGAGAGAGATTGGGCACACGGAGGAAAATGCAAATGAACACCTGCCGACATATGAGACTTTGAGGCAGACGTCATCATCAAATGGCCAGAAAACAGATTTGACCGCAGTTGAAGCCCATCTGGCTCAACTTGTATCGCTTGTTGAGCGGCTACGGAAGGATAACCAGGCTCACGAATCAACGGAGATGCAACTAGCTGTATCAAACCCTGGCCTGGAAACGGCGCCGATGAAAGAGGGCAATTTTCGGATGGAATCGGTCGTCGAGGAATCGGGTAGTCCGTCTAGCGCTGCTGCTGATTGTAGCAGCGATGATTTTCCCATCCCAAAGGGTCAGACTACAGATTTGGTTGATCCACTGGAAACTTCAAACTTGGGACACATGTCATTGGGGGATGGAGGGAGGTCAAGGTCAGTATTGGCTAGCTAGCCGAAAATACGTTTAGTTGTCTAATTTTGGATTTAGATACGTTGGAACGACGTATTGGGCTTACATTTCTCATGAAATGGAGGAACTCAATCAATTGCTCGGAAACCAGAATCAGTCGCACGATTTAGCGGCATGTAGTGATACCGCAACCGAGGTTTCCAGCAAGCGAAGACGGCGCAAAGGATCGATAAGCAGCCACACCACCAGCCAAACAACGGGCTCTCCCTTTCCGCTCGGCTTCTCAGAGCCGATTCAGAAAGCTGTCTGCATACCATCGGCCTATTTATCACCGAATGATAAAGCGGTCGAGCCATATATGCTTGAGCATGTTCCGACGAAATGGCAGAGTGACATTCTCTACAAGGCATTCATGTCTGGTGTTCACTCGCTAAGCCCTATTATTCACCCACCGATGATCTTAAACCTATACAAAGCCTTTTGGGACTGGTATGACTGCAGAAGCTATACGGGGGAGCCATGCCCTAGTCCTTCTTTTATTCCACTCCTATACGCGATATGGTTTGGAGGCTCAGTTTCTATCTCCATGAGAACAATGGAGACAGAGTTTAATACTTCCTCACGAGCTGTGCTCTCGACAAAATATAGCGAGGAAGTCACTTGTTGGTTGGCCAAGATCTCGTTTCCCCATAGCGTCACACTCCACGGTTTGGCGGCCTATCTTATTGCGCAGACAATATTGTCAAGAGAGGAAGAACCCTTGGCAAGTAGTTTGTTTGTTAGTTTAGCAGTGAGAGTGGCGCAGACCTTGGGGTTACATCGGGATCCCGCCCATTTTAATATCGACCCATGGGAGGCAGAGTTCCGACGCCGATTGTGGTGGCATATCATGCATATGGATGCCGTTATCGCGATGTCGAGTGGGCTTCCGCCATTGCTTACTGATACTACTTACTGGGATGTTCGCGAGACGAGCGAGGTCAAGGACACCTTGTTGGGTACTACCGAAGCCAAACAGTATGAACAGTTGGTTGCCAACGGTCAGCGGCCACCTGATAATCCAGACAACCCCGATGTCTGTGGTGGGCCGTCGACAGTGAACGTGTATTATCTGAACGCAAAGGCCAAATGTATAATGGCCCGTGAGTGATCTTGGGCTTAGATATTAGGCGCGCGGGCTAACCTTTTCGCAGAGTCTGTTCGTAGAATACTAAAGATTCAGCTGGGCACGAAACCTCTAACAAGAGGGGATATGGTGGAGCTCCGCTCTGTCCTTCACGATCTTCAAGTCAAGCTCAACTCCATCATAAGCAGAATTCCACAGACAACGGCAACCGAAATACCAACAGCGTCTTCAAAAAGGTCTCATTCAACCGCGGCGGAACTTCCCATTGAAGGTCCGTCTGGCTGCTCGGAGCAATATCATTCAGTAGTCCTCGTCGCCTTTCATAAATGGGCCAGGATTATCTTGTCGTTGTTCATTGATAAGGTCGATATTTTTAAGCAGAAATCCCGTTTGGCACTAACATGGATATAGGCATTTTGTGTTGCATACCAACCATTCCTCAGAAATCCTCGAAGTCGGATCTGGCCCGTAGCACGCCAAAGGTAAGTGCCTCGACTCATTGAGCTACTATATCTAATTCAAATAGTGCGCTACGCCATTGTTACGCATTCATGGAGAAGTTCATCCGATTGGCCACGGATCCTGACTTTCAGCCGTTCCAATGGGGCTGGCCGGGGTGAGCATTCCGATTGTTCAAACAGGAATTTTGACTAATAATTGCCAAGGAATCACCAGCCTATGCATGCAATGATGTATGTTGAAATCTAGATTTAGTAGCGTGGCCATACTAACTAGATCTAGGATTATTCTCATCGACTTGTACGAACGACCATATAGCCCCGAGGCCTCCGTGTCCCGCGGATTTGTTGATCAAATTCTGTCTCTTTCTGGACCAGACGGGGGCGTTGTAAGTGGCGGAGATGACATCTTCACGCAACGTCCATTGAGGAATGGAGGCCGAGAGGCCTGGGGCATGATCCGTCGTCTGCGCCAAAAGGCCTGGCAGAAAGCCGGCCTGGACCCAACATTGCCGGGGACGGGACAAGATTGGTCAACTGAGTCTGATTTTGCAAATGCTTCTCACTTCAAATCCATGTCATCCGCAACCGTGGCCGCGCCTACTACTAGCGCAGCTGCGACTACCGCCCTCTCGTCATACGATGAAGCATTTGCCCCCAGCCCAACCTTTGCTCGTTCCTCCGCCGCTACTATATCGACTCAACAATCCCTTGTTGACTCTGCTAGGGTGAACTTTCTGGAAACTGCCGACTCGGGCATATTACCCGATTCGGAGCCTTCTGTCCCCTTTATGATCGACCCGAGTCTAAATTTTGACTGGGGTGAATGGGACAATATCTTTGGGCAATCTTTACCCGTTGCAGATGAGCTCATGGAACTCGATCAAGTCACGGGGTTTGCATTTGCGGATCTAGAAAATGGTGCTATGTGAGCCGAGCATAGAATTGAGGTGAACAAACATACTGCTGGATGTTGTTCGGGCTCTGTCTTTCAACAGTGCCCCATGCGTTTTTCTTTTCTTCACAATCCACATGGGATGGTGGTCGCATTTCTCTTGCTCGATTAATCGGAATGCAAGTTGAGTGACCGTAAGGAATATCAAAATTGGCCCAAAGAGTTGTATTTTATATTAGATTTAGTAGGATATCTAGAAAGTTAGAAGATATATACACGTAATATATGACTCTATGTACTGATTTATACAAGATCTTCGAGCCAACGAGCAGAGATACCCTGTCAGGGACAACACATTCGTCCAATTCTAGCGAGACACCAATTCGTTTTGATTCCATGATGTGTTCCTCGTCGTAGGGATCGTGTTCTAGCTATATTATATATTACAGCCCTATATTTAAGGGCAGACAACAAACTATCGTCCAATTACCCCCGAGCTCCGCCGCTCCCCGCATAACCCCCTCCATTCCCCACTAATCGGCGAACCTCTCCGAGACCATGTATGTTGTATACCTACTATTTCTCTCCCTCTCCCTTCCCTATCACCATTCTACAACCCCAATCCCCCCCAAACCCCCAAAACCATGACTACAGAATCCCCCCACCGAATTGCCCTGCTCGGCCTCGGCACAATCGGCCTCTCAATGCTAGCTATGCACCTCCGACGCCCAGACACCAGCATAACAGTCTACGACCCACGCCCAGACTACGAATCCCAACTCCGGAGCACACTCCCCTCCCTCCTCGATTCCCCAGGCTCAACAACCCTAATCGACGACCTAATCCGCACATCCCGCCTAAAACTCTCCACCACAGTCGCCGAAGCCATCCAAAACGCAACAATCATCCAAGAACAAAGCCCGGAAGTCACATCCTCGAAACAGGCTCTCTGGAAGGAAGTCGCCGGTCTCACTGGCCCAGATACCCATTTATGGAGCAGTTCGTCGGGAATTTCCGCGTCGGTACAAGCAGCCGGGTGCTCGGCTGCGGACCGTGTTGCTGAGCGCTTGCTCGTCGCGCACCCGTTTAACCCGCCGCATCTGATGCCGCTTGTTGAGATTGTGCCTGGGCCTGAGACGGATGCTGAGAGGGTTGAGTTTGTGAAGAGGTATTTTGGCGATATACCCGGTCCTGCGGTTCCGGGTGGGCATCAGTCGGGTTCGCAGCATTACAGACCTATTACGTTGCATAAGGAGATTCCTGGGTTTGTGGGGAATAGACTTGCTTTTGCGTTGCTGAGGGAGGCGTGTCATCTTGTTGGGGAAGGAGTTGTTTCGGCGAGGGATTTGGATTCTCTTGTTACGGCTAGCTTGGGACCACGGTGGGCTGGGAGTGGTGTGTTTGAGAGTTATCATGCTGGTGGCGGGGAGGGTGGGATTGGGGCATTTTTGCAGAAGCTTGCGCCGACGATTCAGGATGTGTGGGGGGATTTGGGGCAGATTGATATTCAGGGTGAGCAGGGGTGGAAGGATTTGGTGGTTGAGCAGACTGAAGACGCCTATGGGCCTTATACTCCTGAGACAAGGAAGAAGAAAGAGGAGATGCTGAGGGATATGGTAGAGATGCAAAAGAAGAAATGGGGAGAGTTGTGATCAGTTACTGGGAGAAGTGAACAATAGAGTGCTCTATTCGCATTCTTGTATATCTAGAGGGCCATAGCTCCTCTATTAAAAAACTAAAACATTTTGTTACGTCATATTCGTTCCGCCCTTTACAGGATCTGCTGGAAAGCACGGTTAATGGGGGAGCGTACGGGGACGCCCTTGTAGAAGTCGATGGTGGCAAGAGCACGCTTGCTGATGCCCTCGGGGGTGAACTCGAATTTCTGCGGATAATCAGTATATGGTCATTGGATAATGAGTGGAGATAACTTACAGCGTACACCTCCTTGTAGGGACCGGAAGCACCGAAGCGGTTGAGACCGAACTGCTCGTGTGAGTAGCGCTCCCAACCCATGGTGCAGCAGGCCTCGACAGACAGCACGGGGATGCCATCGGGAAGAACCTGGAGACGGTACTCCTTGGTCTGGGCATCGAAGACCTCGAAGCAAGGAATAGAGACAACACGGGCAACAACACCGTGCTTCTCCTGGAGGTATGTGGCGGCCTCAATGGCGATGCTGACCTCGGAACCAGTGGAGACGATGGTGACGGCAGCGTTAGGGGTGTCGACAGCGACGTAGCCACCCTTCAGGGCGCTCTCGAGGGTGGAGAGCTCAAGCTGGGGCAGGTTCTGGCGGGTCAGAGCCATGACGGTAGGAGTGTGCTTGGAGGTGATGGCGGAGTAGTAGGCAGCGCTGGTCTCGTTGCCGTCAGCGGGACGCCAGACCATGCAGTTGGGCAAGGCACGGAAGTGAGCCAGAGTCTCAATAGGCTGGTGAGTGGGGCCGTCCTCACCCAGACCGATGGAGTCGTGGGTAGCGACGTGAATGACACGAACGCGGGACAGAGCCGACAGGCGGAGGGCACCGGCGGCGTATGAGACGAAGTTGAGGAAAGTACCACCGGCGGGGATGATGGTGCCGTAGGCAGCCAGACCGTTCATGACGGCAGCCATGGCGTGCTCACGCACACCGTAGCGAATGTAGCGACCGGCCCACTCGCCGATACCAAGGTCAGGGGGCTGGAAGTCAACGGCGTTCTTCCAGCGGGTGTTGTTGGAGCCAGTCAGATCAGCGGAACCAGAGACCAGCTCGGGAAGGACGTCGTGGATAGCCTCGAGGCAGGCCTCGGAAAGCTTACGGGAAGCCATGGCAGCATCAGTAGGCTTGTAGACGGGGAGCTTCTTCTCCCAGCCCTCGGGCAGCTTGCCGGAGAGACGGCGAGCGAGGTCAGCACCCTCGGTCTTGTGCTCAGACTGGTACTTCTGGAAGAGCTGGTTCCACTCCTGTTCCTTGGCAGCACCCTGAGCGGCGTGCTTGTGGTACAGGTCGTAAACCTGCTGGGGGACAGAGAAACTCTCTTCGGGGTTGAAGCCGAAAAGCTTCTTAACGCTCTGGGCATCGTCGGCCTTGAGGGGGTTTCCGTGGACACCGCCGGTACCGGCAAGCTTGGAACCGAAACCAATGGTGGTGGTCAGCTTGATCATGGAGGGCTTGTCAGTGACCTGCTGACACTTGCGAATGGCAGCCTCGATACCCGCGAGGTCGTTGTCACCATCCTTGACCCACTCGGTGTGCCAGCCGTAGGACTCGAAACGCTTAGTGACGTCCTCAGTGAAAGCACACTTGGTGTCACCATCTGTGGAGATCAGCTGTCAGCTTTTTATATCTAGCTTGAGGTACTCGAGCTAATTCTTACCAATGGAGATGTGGTTGTCATCGTAGATGGCAATCAGGTTGCCAAGCTTAAGGTGACCAGCCATGGAGGCAGCCTCGCTGGCAATACCCTCCATAGCGCAACCATCACCGAAGAACATGTAGGTGTAGTTGTTGAAAAGCTCGAAGCCGGGCTTGTTGTAGACACCACCGGAGTGAGCCTGAGCCATGGCGAGACCAACAGCGTTGGCGAAACCCTGACCAAGAGGACCAGTGGTGACCTCAATGCCGGGGGTGTCGTGGGCCTCGGGGTGACCGGGGGTGATGCTGTCGAGTTGCTACTTAAATGAGTAAAAGGTTGCTGTATATATATGGCGCGGAAGGACTTACACGGAAGTTCTTCAGGTCATCAATGGTGAGCTTATATCCGAACAGGTGGAGCAGAGCATACTGCAGCATGCAGCCGTGGCCGTTACTATCCAATTTGAGATTAGCCGGTACTCCAAAAACACGGTCATTGACATTTCGGGTGGAAAGACCCAGCCCAACCTTCAAATGCGAGGGGAAGGCACATACGAGAGAACAAAACGATCACGGTTGGCCCAGTCAGGGTTCTGGGGGTTGAAGTTCATCATGTTCCACAGAACGTGGGCAACGGGAGCCATGCCCATAGGGGCACCGGGGTGACCGGAGTTAGCCTTGGAGGTGGCATCAACCTAATAGCGAAATGTCAGTCATATTTCCCAGTGTATGTATGCATTGAGACTTCATATGAGACGAGAATCCCCAATCTTGTATCAATTGAAGGCGTGAAATGGAGTGGCAATTGCCAGTTCAACGTACCGCGAGAACACGGATGGTGTTCACAGCCAACTGGTCCAGATCAGTGTAACCCATGATGGCGGATTCTAATACCGTTAGAAAGTGAAATCACAGTAAGATAGTTAAGGTACATACATTTTTGAGTGAATGGAATGATTTGGGAGAGATGGATGAGAGAAGAAGAGAAGAGGGAGGGGAATGTATTTGTTGGTGGGGGGGTATGATGTCGGGTGGGGAACTATTGGTGGCTTGGAAGCTCAACGACTTAGATTGTAGCTTACAGAGTATTCAAGGTCATATTTAACAGCATTTAACAGAGAATATTTTTTATTATAGAAGTCTATTAAGTCTATTTCCGGGAGTATCTACTCCGTAGACTTATCTTATAGGCTGAATCAATTGAATCTTTATAAACGTATATTGTATATCCCCTCCATTGCATCATGGGCTGAGTCATTCATTTCACTGGCCACCACGTTATAGTTAACTAACTATACCACTTGAACATTTGTACTTGTTACTATACTCGTTATTATACTCGTTATATCTCTACTACTCCTGTACCTGTATTTCTTAACTTCCATCAATAGCCGTTTCTTCCGTTTATAATCCCAATGGCCCGCATTTTCCGACACTCTTCCGGATTGACATCCACACGTTCTTTTAGTATACACCGGGAGCCGCCCGGAGGACCCTGCTCCGACTCACAACCGGCCTTTCCATGGACTGAAATTAGCCGAATCTCCTTCTATGTCTCCTCAATACCCGTGCCGGTGATCAGCTGTTCAGAAAAAAAAAAAAAAAAAAAAACTGCATTAATGGAATTGGTGCTTTGAAGACTCCTTGATATCTCCTTGACAACTCAGCGGCCTGCAGACGTGGCCGTGCATCGGATGTCCTAATTAAGCCAATCCGAGTAAATATCGAAACACCAATGACAATGCGAAGCTGGAATATAAGTGGAATGGCAATTCCCAAGAATTTCTAACGTGACCCCCACAGGGAAAATTGTATCTCCTCCCTGAAACGTGTTGGGGAATTCACCGTGAACATCCCGGTGTGCCGGAAGGAGAATAGCGCGGGGGAAACTATAGAGTCACGTGTAAAGCATATTTGAACTATATACATCTGTGACACATCTATGGGCATCGTGTTTTCTGTTAAAAGATATTGTATAACATGGACGGCGAGCTACGAGTCGAGCTACGATTGTCCAATCTCCCATCCGAGTCCACATACACATATACAACCTAGACCCTTGTTGTGCTTCCCCATAATGTCATTGTCACCCAGGATTACAAAGATAAGAATCTCCCAGTCTAATATCAAATTCCGAAGGCGAGGCTTGCATCGAATCATTCAATCGCTGCCTTCATCTATATCATGAAAATAAGCATTCAAAGAGGTCATGGCCTTCCGGTACAATCGCCACCCCCGGAACCTCAACTCCGACGACTGTTTGAGATGATTCTTCAGGCAAAATCATCCTCCAAGCCCACGTTGAGCAACATGGTAGTCAGGTCAGCCTGCGCTACATGCACACATAAAAAGTGGCCAACTCAGCTGAGAGTACTCCATGGCACAACAGAAAGAAAACCAGGACACCTGACTGATACGACCTGGATATCGAAGCGCATTGCTATGCACTCGCGATAAAAAAACATCGTATCTCGAGCCTACGAGAGTAATCTTTGTACAAATTAACACGGAAGATCCTTGCATGAGGCACGATTTTAGGTCCCTACAGCCACCGGATTATATGTGATTTTAGTCAGCTCGTATATGGCTGGCCCCCTCGTTTTAGGATCTTGTAGTGTAGAATTTTCATATTCCTTTATATAAAGTATACCTGTATTGAGACCATCATCCAGATTATCTGTCCACGGGTCAGCATTCCACATCGGTTCAAAAATATATACATATATATCCTACTGCACGCCATGGAGACAGAAGGCAAATCTACTCACTCCCAAACCGATGTGTAAGTCCTGACTATATCTTCCCAAAATATAGTCTAATATTCTCTCATAGACTCATCATCGGCGCTGGGCCATCTGGCCTGATGGCAGCCTACTGGATGGCTCGCTGTGGAGTCAACGCACGCATAATCGACAACCGTGACACGAAGGTCTTCCTAGGCCACGCAGACGGGCTTCGTGCACGAACGCTAGAGTTGTTCGATAGCATGGGATTCCAACACCGTGTTCTACATGAGGGATCCGTCTCTACCGAGGCGAACATTTGGGTGCGTACCACCTTGTTTTCCCGTCGAAATAGGGCCTCCTGACGACGCCTCGAACAAATAGGTCCCCGGTCCACAGGGAAAACTAGTCCGAGAAGCTCAAATCGACATCTCTAGGGTTGACGAGTCCCCCTTCCACAATACACGCTTGAACCAGGGACGCATTGAGCGGTTTATTCTCGATAGTATTCGGGAGCACTCTGACCTCGACGTGGAACGGAGCGTGATCGCCGACTCTTTGGAATATGACGAGGAGTCGGGTGATGATCCCAACTCGTATCCTATCACCGTCAAGGTCCGAGTCCTTGGTGAAGATGATTTGGATCGACCGCGCGAACAGGAAACAGACGCTGAGTCTGGAGCGGTTGGCAACGAGGTCAACTGTAGTAATTTGCTTCCTGATGACTGGGCCGATCTAGCGCCGCGCCAAAAGCCACAGAAGACGCAGGTCGAGACGATCAAAGCCAAGTACCTGATCGGGTGTGATGGTGCTCACAGCTGGACGAGGAAACAGCTAAACATCCCCATGGAAGGGTCTAACACGGACCACATATGGTGAGTGGTACTTGTTATCCGCCCGCGCTACAGCAGCTGATATATAAACAAATGTACAGGGGCGTGATAGACGTCATACCAATCAGCGATTTCCGTAAGTACAACCCACTGTGTACTCGTCTCTCCCAATAACATCCACTAAGTCAAATCTTAGCGGATATCCGCCGCGTAAGCGTCGTGAACAACGCCGCAGGCACAATCCTCGTGATCCCACGCGAGTGCGGCTTAGTCCGATTCTACGTCCCCGTGCAAACCTGCGAAGCGGACACAACTGACCGATTCGACCGCTCAAAGATCACGCCGGAGCTAATCCGAGAGCGTGTCCAAGCCATCTTCGCCCCCTTCACTTTCGACTTCAAGGAATGTAGCTGGTGGACCGTCTACCAAGTCGGCCAGCGGATCGCCACCCAATCCACAAAGGACAACCGGATCTTCCTTGCTGGTGATGCCGTCCACACGCACTCACCTAAGATGGGGCTTGGGATGAATATGAGTATGCAGGATGGGTTCAATGTTGGATGGAAGATTGCTCTTGCCGTGGCGGGTACTCTCAAACCTGAGATTCTTGATACGTATGCTACGGAGAGACACCCGCTTGCGGAGATGTTGCTTGACTTCGATCGCCATTGGTCGCCTATGTTTACTGATCGGAAACCGGGAGCAGGAGATACGAAAGCTTCAGATATGGCCCTTGTTGCGGGGAGGTTTGAGGATTTTGCTGATGGTTGGAAGGTCTTTTACCCCGCCAGCAGTCTTGTTCGGAAGGCTGAAGACAATGCTGAACTTGCTTTTGCACGGCACATGATTCCTGGGGAGAGAGTCCGGCCGGTGAAGCTCCGCAATCAGGCTGATGGTGGTACGCGATGGACAACAAGAGCTTTAGAAAGCGACGGGCGCTTCCGCATTCTAGTTTTGGCTGGGGATATACGGAACCCAATGCAGAAACAACGCATTGAGACCTTGAGCCAGGGCTTGGCTGGACAAACTGGATCAGGAATTTCACCACTGGGTCGCTACTTGGAGATTCCCGGTCAATTCAAGAGTCCTGTTGATGTCCTCACCATTCATACTTCGCCGTGGAAAGAGGTAGAATTCTTTGATTTCCCAGAGATTCTGCGTCCATTGGATCCGGTGAATGGATGGGCATATGACAAGATTTGGTGTGATGACGCCTGCAGGTTTGACCGATATTGCGATGGAACGGCATATGAGAAGTGGGGGGTTGACCAGGTTCTTGGGGCGCTGGTAGTCGTCCGCCCGGATCAATATATCGGATGGGTGGGTGAACTTGGAGATGTGGAGGAATTGACGCAGTACTTGGATAGAATTCTCGTGAAGAAGTCACCGACAGACGAGGTTGACGCTGTCCTCTAGAGAGTATCATACAGGACAATAGCAAAGGACAAATTCAACACATAAATTGGTGCAGGTTACACGCTTCCAGGTGACTGACTGACTAAATATATACAAGCAACAATGCAAAATATGCCAATTTTTCCTAGCTGCAGGATCAATGCAGATTTTCCCGTAAGTTTGAGTATGCCGCTCACCGTTTAAGCCTCGAATTACCGGCATATAAGATATAAGATGATCAAGAAAGGGAAACAGATGCTTATCCTAGAAATTATAGTGCAGATGAAGAAGAAGATACGTCGAGGGGAGGAAACCAAATGATATACGGAAGAGAATTATTTGCTGCGTTTATTTACATTTATGGCCTTAGGATTATAAGATCAGTACAGAGTATATACGCTGGAATATACGTAGAAAACGAGTATCAATCAGCTATATTATATATGCCAAGACTGTGGTTATATACACAATGGGGGGCCCCAATGGGCCCCCATCAATGGGCCCGAGTTTCAGGCCCATTTGTGGGCTTTACGGAGGTCTATTTGTTAGTACATGCACAACTGCACTATCTTTCGCAAATCCACAACCACCTCCATGCTTACGCGCGTGTCTCAGGCCCCCAGGACCCATCTTCCCGTAACTCAGTAGTAGGATCAGCAACATGAGACGACCTGGGAGCATCTTTATCAAACGAGCCCCGGATAACACTTGGATCAGCAGGGAACTTGAACTTCGAACTGTTCCATGGCTTCACTTTCATCCGGTACATAGTATCGATCTCCTCCAGGGTACGGCCCTGTCCCTCCATAACGGCGAAGTAAACCAGACCGGCAGCAAGGAAAAGACATCCGGCGAAGACATACCCGAAGCGGAAGTCAATGTCGCCGGTAATAAAGGGAGTGAAAAAGGCAAGGAGGAAGTTCCAGAGCCAGTTGGATGCAGTCGCCAGAGACATCGCTTGGGCACGGTATTGCGAAGGATAGAGCTCGGCGATGATCGTCCACACCATGGGTCCCCAGGTACTGGCAAAGCCAAGAATGAAAAGGCAGGCAAAAACGACCATAACCACGCCGGCAGATTTTGTTCTCTCTGGGAATTCATGATCTAGGGAGAAATGGCCCACTGATGCAAAGATCATGAAGCAAACGAACATCCATAACGCACCGGTTATGAGAGAACGGCGTCGGCCCCAGTGTTCAATTAGATAGAGACCAAGGAAAGTTGTTCCAAAGTTGACTGCGCCTAGAATCAACTGCGTGACATAACTGTTCTCGATTCCAGCGCCCTTGAAAATCGTTGTTCCCTGATATGTGTCAGTTAGGTCTCTTTTCTCTCTGTTCAACGAACATGTCGAAACTCACATAATAGAAGAAGTAATTAGCACCTGTCAGTTGCTGGAGAGCTTGCAGGGCGACGCCAACGGCGATCCGGTACCCCATCGTCGGAGCACGGAACATCTGCATCCAGGTGACTTTCCCGTTGCGCTGCTCTTCCTCGTGTTTCTCTCTGATTTCTTCGAACTCGATGTGAAGAGCGCGATGGTTAATCGGGACACCATAAACTTTGGCAAGTGTGTTCATGGCTTTCTCCACGTTGCCGTGGCGGTAGTCGTAGCGTGGACTTTCAGGGAAGAACATCATGCCAGCACCAAGGATTGCGGCCCAAATATACGTGACACCCATAGGGATACGCCACGAACCGGTGTCGGGGCGACCTTCCGTTCCAAAATTGATACAGTTGGCAACGAAGATTCCAAGTGTAATGAATAGCTGATATGTACTGGGAAGAGTTAGTAGAAGACAATAGTCTAGTTCTGGGATGACCCTAGGGCTCGTTGTCCAACATACCTAATCAGCGATCCTCGAATGTGCCTTGGTCCTGATTCTGCTTGATACATTGGTACCAGGAGAGAGACTGCACCAACGCCGAGCCCGGCGACCCAACGACCCATGGCGACCTGATACCACTTGCCAAATGGTGCGGTCATCTGAATGGTGATTCCGATACACACCATCAGAGACCACCAACTAATACACCACTTTCGTCCGAAGCGGTCGGCGATAGGTGCTGCAACTAAAGCCCCCATCAGAGTACCAATTGACAGCTGTAGGAGACTGTTAGCATATGTAGATAGATGTGAGGCGAGCAATGACAAAGAAGGCACTGCTTACCAAGGCAACAATGAGACCCGAACGGACGTTAGAGAAATGGTACGTCCCATCCGATTGAAGTTCACCATATCGCTCAAGGAAGTTTTCCATCTCCAGGAAGCCGGAGATTTGACCAGTGTCATAACCGAAAAGGAAACCGCCCATAGAGACGAGAATTCCCATAATGAATGAACGCCAAGTGAGAAGCGGAATAGGAGTGTCGACCTCATTACCGGGGCCTTTCTCATGTTCATTGGTAGAAACCGGCCCCCCAGGGGCCTGAGAGTCTGCATAGAGGTCCTGCGGACGCTTTTTGAAGATCTTCTCGAACATAGCGCCAACTAGTACTATTTGGCTGTGATATTTTCACTACCTGGCAACTAATTTTTCGCAAATCCATGCGATACTGGATCAACCCTTTTTATATACAGTGCCTGACCAAGAAAGCCAAGGCTGGGCAATATGCCGCAGAAAGCCGAGTGTCTGGGAACTCATACCAATTCAGGCAGTACGCATCACACTGATGACCCGTTGATCCAAGACCCCGAGCATACGACCTTCAATCTGGCACTTATGTCCGTCAGAAAAGAGATAATCCGGGGAATTTGACATGGATTTGGCAGGTTGGCCGGTTCGGCTGCGACATGTTCGGGTGGTTAATCATTGCTGTTGGCCAATAAAGCAACTTCAGACTCCATCTCCACGACTTCTGAGTGGCGCGGAAGTCTCGGCCCTGTAGACCTCGTGATTCGTTTTCTTTTTTTTTTTTTTTCTGGTAACGAATAATATTTCTGGGGCAATTTGACCACGCGATAACCTGGGGTCTGGAGAAGTAGTGATGCAATCGGTGCCAGCCACGCAGCTTGGCATTGATTGACCGGCCGCACGTTTATGGCAATGTTAACTTGTTGGATTTGAATCAAACCACGAGTAATCTAGGTGACGGTAAAACTGTCGCAGGTACGACGGTGTATAGCGCTCAATGACAAATGCCGTATCTTGGCCTGACTTATGGCGGAATTAAGCCTTGTGAGGGAATAAATACGGCGTCTTTTCCGCTAGACCATAACAAAAACCTCGGTTCCTGTTTAGGGCCTAGGGAGGCCATATCCCAGTCTGACACCTTGTTTTAGACCGCTTTAGGCCTGTAACCAACTCGGCATGGAATAACTAGGCACCGTTAGCCCATAAAAGTGATATCGGTATTGTCTATTCCCTTGATGCTCTTTTTATCACTAATATGTTCTAGACCAATAGAAATGCTGTGGACCTCCGCAAGCCTTAGATAGAGCAGCTTCTATCCCGTTCAAGAACGCTTGGACAAGCCTCCCTGCGGAAGAAACGCGAGAATTTGTCGCTATTCTGCTGGAGGAGAGATGTGAAGAGGCTGAGAAGATGAGCAGCACTTTTCTTTGTGGGAACGATTCGTATGTGGCTGAAGAGTAGTTCTAGTCCTCCTAAAAAGCTAGATACTGCTATCCAATTAATCACTTTCTAAGAAACGAGCATATTATGATCACTTGTAGATCAAGGATCTCTTTAAGTATTGATAGTGTCACCCATAGTCGAGTAATTATACTCCCTCTTTTTCTTTTCACATCATTACAGTAATTATATAGCCTAGGAAGGAACCAAATAACAATCTGCAGAACTCATTTATAGACGTGGTCTAATTGCATAATCTTGCTAGAAACGGTCTATCCATTACGGTTCAGAGAATCTATATTGTACAAGGCAACTGGAGAGAAACGTAAGGCTGCGACATTTCCACGTCTCAATTCGTGTACTTGATTAAAATACCTATGGGTCATCCACCTGGGGTAGCCTCCAAAGGTGATCAAACCATCGTTAAGCAAGGCATCTTTCATACTTCTCCTCCCCCGTCAATTCCTAGTTCCCCGACAATTATCATTACCCTCACTAGCCACTTCCACTGGGGTAGCTCCCTACTTAGGCAATATTGCGAAGAGGAGTAGCCTCAACTGATTCCCCATTTTGCGTAACTCCGCGACGTGAGCTACCAACTGGCCTCACTATCTCGTTCATTACCGCATGTTTAACTTTAGACTGACCACCTTCCAGTCCTGCACGATCCAAGGGTTCCTGGGCAGCCAAGGCAGTTCTACAACGGTGTTGCATCGCATACACTGCAATAGGGACACCAACAATCCACCACGAGAACATAATGGGAAGCGCACGATAGAGCCGGTTATTGCACCCACCAGACCAGATCTGAATCAGGACCTGGTATGCCTCATGGGAAGGAAGAGCATAGCCCCAGCGAAAGAAACCCGGATTCAACTCAAACGGACTGATAGTACTGGCGACATTGAGAATGACCCAAGTCAGAACAATAAACGGCATGAACTGAATCGGGATGAAAGCAGTCGTGATATCGAAAAACAGGAAGTTGATGTGCATCAGAAGCCACATAATGATCCAAGTTAACACGAACTGACTTCCTCGCTGTCCCCACGACTCTCTAAAGGCCCAGATATAGCCGGCCATTAAGAGTGATCCTGTAAGGGTATAGAGGATGGAGGCTATGGCGCGGATCAGACCGTTGGCTTTCCAGGACAATTTGCTGAACGCGTCGAAATGGGTTGATATCCCGTTCAGTGCCAAAATGAAAAAGAACTGTTGGAGGATTGGCATCACCATGGATACTGTGTTGTAGAACACCCTTGTACCTTGTTCCGTGCCCTTGATGTTGATTTCTTCGGCGTGGATAGGGTCGAGGAACGCTTCGAGGGTGGCTGCATTAGATAGGTCCGCGGACGCGACGACTGAAGATCCATTGTTGGCGTAGTATGTTGACCGTGTTGTGGCGATCAGTTTCAAAATGTTGGAGTAAACCGCGGCTTGCGAGAAAACTGGGTATCTGACTCCGTTCCAGATATAAGTGAGTGAGATCGGTGGGCTGGACCCGTTTACCAGTGCCGATGCCAGGCCATCTGATCCACGTTCAGTTGTGTAGATAGCCCCCCCAGTAGTCGCCGCGGCATACGGCTTCTCGAATGTTCTCTGGTTGGGGATATTCGACAAGGGATTCAGGCACCAAAGTTGGAAACCCTTCTCCTCGTAGCTGTTGATAGGCATCTGTCACTGACTTGCCGATCATATCGCCATCGTAGTCCACGTAAAGTAGATTGAAGTTGTGATAACGGGTGGTACTGCGGAATTGCGTTGCATAAAGATAGCACATATTCACCAAGAAAAGAACTTGAAGGAGGAGAGACATAGTGATCACAGCTGGCAAAAGCTGAGACCGGATCTCCTTCCATGCGCCCGTTTTGGGATATGAGTTCGATTCGCGTCTCATCTTCAGTGAATGTAAGGTCGAGAAGATGAGGTGCAAACGGTGATTGATGTTCCCTTGACGAGTGACATTTATAGGGAGTCTCGGAATCTGATCCCTGTATTGCTTACTCGTTGTGTATCCATGGAAATTTATGTGAGCTTGGTCACCCAAGGTGGTTGCACCATTCGAAGTATATGAACAATGTACAAATCCACTTGGGGTCCACCAATCACGTTCGCCAGGCAGTCTACAATTTTCCGCTGACTCAGCGGAATATACTTCTCGGCTCGAACTACGATTGGTCGGATTTGAATTGCCCAAATGCTTTGTATGAGAGCAAGAAGTTAATGATGGAGTTACGACCGGCATGCAATTGTCCATTCAGCTAGCTAGTGACCTGCCCCCCGAAGGATTTAAAGCTGCGTCTTCGCCGTGAATAAAGGTGAAATTTGTCTACTTTTTTTGTTGTTTTATCCTTGTCCTCAACCTGGTTCTGTGTATGACACGCATAAAGTGTTAAATCCGGTCTTTGCAACCCGAGGTGCTTCAGAGCAGTTTCTCTTCGACGCTCGCGAGATATTTACGAACAAAAAGCCGGAAAGCGAGTTGCTGGTCCTCGAGCATTTTGGCCACGGTTTCGTAGAATGCGTCCATGTCGTCCATGAAGATTTTGTATTTCTGGACCATATCCGGGAGCTATGCTTCGTTATGGATTAACCTTCCAATAACTTGAACCATAGAAGTCTAGTCAGCTCCTGGTTAACACGTGAAGCACGGACGAAGTGGTTATATACTGAATAGAGAGAGACGAAGAAGAAGAGGAAGAAGAAGGAATCTTTATTCTCTATAAACAAACTGAGGCTGGCCAACTAGCTAGTGGAAGCCTGACAACCAAGACATGTAGGCATATATACATGCAGTTTAATGCTTGTAGGCGCATCTTATCCCGCCAAGTAGATCGACAGGGAGCATGCAAATGTACCGAAACCAAATCCCCGTGTCTAGATCTACTTAGGCTGTAATTAGGGCCCAGAAGAGTGTTGTGATCATCAAATTCATTATATACGCGATATCCTAGGCATTGCATTGCCTGTCCTAAAGAACTATACTAACTATATACCAGGCATACCATTCACGGCAGACAAAAAACATGTTTCCAAGCACAAGAGAAGATCAGAGACAAAAAAAAAAAGAAAAGAAATTAGCAGACAAAAACCAAAGATAGAATAAACGCGAATAAACGCCCCCATCCATAGGTATCATGAATAGAATATAAAAGCGGAAAACCAATTCAAACCCCAAATCCTTCCAAAAGACACCCAGCGCTACATAATCAATCAGACGGCCAGACGTCGGTCCCAGCCATTGGCCAGGGAGAACTCATCAACCTCATCTTCACCATGCATAGCAAAAGTATGGAAAGGATCGATGGTATTGATATCCTCAGGGAAGACCTTAGCATCCGGGTAGGGTGCTAGAGAATCCTCGGTACTCCCCATACTCTCACTTGAATAGCTTAGAACGCTCTGCGCAGTATGTTCTGGCTTATGTACGAAGTCGCCACTACTGGCGGACCACGCTTCGGGCGAGAGGCCATGCATATCACTCGGCGGGTAATTGGCTAGGGAGGAGTCGTTGGGTTTGCGGTTGTATTCTGCTGTGATAGAGGCGAATGGGCCCGGATCTTCGCCGCACTCTTTGCCGCCGTAGATGCCTGTGAAGATGTTGGAGTATCCCCGATCCATGTCGCTCAAGACATATTCCCAATCGGCCATTGTGATGGCGCCAGCTGTGGGATCGGAGGGAGTAGAGCAGGACAAGGAGCGTGGGTGGTCGTAGCCCACGGATGCGGCTAAACGGGGGTCTGAGGCTAGGTCCAAGGGGGAGTGGCCTTTATCGTTGAGGTAGAGTGGAGCGGGGAGCTGGTCTGCTTGGGCGAGAGGCAGGCTGCTCCAGCTTGGGGAGCGGAGCGACTGGGGAATAAGTGGGGGTGTGGCTCCGGAGATGGTGTTTCGGCGAGAGGACTGTGGAGAGGGCTCTGTTGGCAGCTGCTTATCACGGGTGGAGCAGGCGATAAGGCGCGACTTTAAGGCCTGCAAGTGCTTCTTGGGGGATTTGCTCGGCTTTTCTGTTGGCGCCACCATCTCCTGGTGTTGCTGCTTGCCCACTGATGGACGTCTTGGGCTGTTCATAGAAATCAGAGTGTTGGACAGCGTGCCGAATTGAGCAGCAGCCGCGCTCGATTCTGATTGGAGGTATTGCATGGCGGTTCCAAGCAGCTTCTGGCTATCCTTGGCCAGTTTGCTATCGTTTTTGACATCAAGCATTTGCCAAAGGAGTCCAAGACCAGAAACAAATATAAGCTCTTTTCTGTTGATACAAACAGACAGACACAGACGCCTTTCATCAAGAAGTTCAAGAATTTGAATGATATGCTTTGCTGAATCGGACAACGCCAGGGCAGACGGAGAGCGAAGGTTCTCGTCAGCGTAGCAGACAGCTGGGCGATGTATTAAAGATCGAATGAAATAATACACAAGTGACTATAGCAGAGTTAGTATTTGTTTGTAAAACATTAAAGAATCTATGCCGTGACTTACCAGGAGTGGCGATCGGCTACTCGTGACGTTCGTGCTAGGCTTATCCTGACTGAACTCGAGACGAAGATGTGACGGCAGTGTGTGAAGCCACTGGTCTAGTTGCCCTGTCACCGAGCGCATTTTCGAAACATACACATCGTAACCAGATTTTGAAGGGAACAGATCGTCCAAAGCCTTGTTCAAGATCCTTGCAGCTCCGAAGAGAGCAATGGCACTGGAAATGCGAGTGGATTCGCCCGGGAGGGTCGGCAAAAACCCTGTTTCTGTGACATTCTCATCATCCACATCAACCGGATAGTCAGTCTCGATGTCCTCTTCGCGCAAAAGTACGGGCAGTCCAGTAAGCGCGGAGCAGAATCGGTCAAGAACATATTGCGACCAAAAAACCTTTTTACGAGTCTCATCCTCGAGCGGGTTGCCTGAGCTTTCTTGGATTTCGTGCATGCCTAGCTGATGGCAAATATCAACACCAAGGGCACGGTAGCGAAGCAATGTACGGTAGTCGCCTTTGGTCATGCAGTAAATTTGACCAAGGACAAAACACTGCAGGCTGGAAACCGACGTTTCACTCGAGAACGAATCAAGGGTGGCCGACCAGTTCTCTTCGAAGAAAGTCGGGTCTTGGTTGGTTCGCGACATTGAGGAAAGAGCAGCAATACCAAAAATCAGATTCAACTGCGCCATCACATGCGGATTGCGCTGGAGAGTTTCGGTATTGTTAAGATACTGCTCATAAGCCTTCAGAATGGTCGGACGATGTACCACAGGGTACAGTGGCGCCCATTCTTGGAAGAAGATATTGATCAACTGATCCGACACCAAGCGCGGTGGCGTTTTCACAGGCTGGTTAGGGCCACCCTGGACTACCGAGGTAGACAAGGCAGTCAGCGCCTCTGTGGGGACCTTTGTTGCTGATTTACCCTCACTGACAAGTTTGTTGGTAAAGATATCTGCGAATGTAAGTTAATTGTTACCATTTGCGAAGGGACAGGTATAACATACCAGCAAAGCCTTGGGTGCTGGAAAATCCAATAAAAGGGTTCTGCGACTTCTGAGATGGTCGGGTCCTCGATCGCTCTACATGAAACACGCCATCGGGTGAAGCCGAAATGCTCGGCTTCACTGTCGCAGAAGCAGAGGGAGACTTCACGGAGGCGGTTCGTTGCGGCGGCATAAACGAATGTATCCTGGACAAGACATCGATCTTCTCATCTTTCTCGTCTAACAGGTCCTTCAAGTCTTTAACTTCGGTTTCTAGACTCCTGACTCGTTCTTCTAGTGACTCGGTATATCCACGTGGGAAGGCGCGGCGGCTCAGTTTGTCGCTGGTGCGGCACTCGAAGCCCACGTTGGCGCATTGCGAGCAGCAAGGTCGAACACCGTCACAGCGTATCTTTTTACTTCGGCATCGGTCACAGGCTTGGGCAATACGGCTCGTTGTGCCAGTTCCGCCGACCTTGATCACTTTCATAGGCAAGATACCAGGCATGTTGTGCAGAAGGGGCACGCGGGCCGCCGGGGGTTGAGTTGGTTGTATTTAGAAGGCGCCAGAAGTATAAGCACAGCACTCCTTATAGAATTGAAAACTGAGATAATGTAACTAGAGAATCTCCAGTTTGAATAAGACAGACAGGTATGTATGGAGAAAAGAAGCCTAAGAACATGGGGGGGCGTCCTCGGGAAGATGGGGTCACGCCAATGCTGAGTCAGTTTCAAGTGGAGACTGCTGACCATCCTCTGGCGCCAATAAACTCCTCGTTGTATCGGTGGTAATTGGTATTCATTGCGTACCTGCTCTGTTCACTTGACCCTTGATTCATTATTGGACCCATTATTTTGAGTATTTTGAGAGGCGAAATACAATCTCGCCCCGGATTCTTCCTGCAGACCTCGATATTTCTTCTTTTTGACGGTTGGATCCCGATCTTCCCGGTCCCCGCACTCCGCATTCCACAGCCCTTTGGCTGATGTGAAAATATCTATAGAATAAGATGGAAATGTAGGTTGCCTTTAGTGGCAAACCAACGCCCCTTTCGGAGTGCATGTGCTCTGTATTGAGTTACTGAGATAGACTTTTGCTATAAGCTAAAACGTAGGGCGCTCGGATTCAACCCCGTTGCGGTAACTGGGCATTCTAAACCGTCTCCGACTTTCTCCTCTCGGTGCTCCGGTTCTGCAGCGGCGCGTGCAGCGGCGTGTCTACCTACCCAGGTTAGCCTACTCGGCATACTATTAAATTCTGGTCCGAAGATCGGCCGCTATCCATGGTTAATGTGTCTCTCTCACTTTCCACTAAAAAAGAAATCGAGGTAACTTCCGCGATACTTCTAATACCCCGTACTTTGCACGAAATGCTAGCTTGGTGGCTGGCCACTCGGAGGATCGCTGAAGTCATCTTAGCCAAGAAAAAAATCTATATAT